GAGACGCTGGACGCCTTTGTGTCCGGCTTCGACTTTGCCGCCTACCGCATCGACGAGGCGCTGCGCATCTTCCTGCAGGCGCCCTGCCACCGTCCTCGACCTCGCATGCTCTCGCCCTCTCGCCCCGTCTCCGCCCTCTCGCCCGCTCGCCCTCGGGTGCTTCTCAAACCCCCCCCCCCCCTCTTCCTGCCGGCCAGGCCTTCCGCCTCCCGGGCGAGGCGCAGAAGATCGACCGCGTGATGGAGGCCTTTGCGGGCGCCTACTACCACGCCAACCCGGACCCGTTCTACCACCAGGACGCGTGCTACGTGCTCGCCTTTTCGATCATCATGCTCAACACGGACCTGCACTCGACCAAGATCGCCGCCGAGAACAAGATGACCCTCCCCTCCTTTTGGAGGCAGGCGGAGGGGATCAACGGCTCCACTGACCTGCCGCAGGAGATGCTCACAACCATCTACCACGCCATCAAGGGCGACGAGATCCGGATGCTCGGGGGCGGGGAGGAGGCGTCCCTCTCGCGCGCGGGGTGGAGGCACCTCGGCGGCGGCGAGGGAGGCGGAGGCGGAGGTGGCGGAGGCGGCGGCGGCGAGAGCAGCGCCCGCGCCGCCGCCGCGGGGGCGGGCGTGGCTGTGGACGAGTTTGGCGCGACGGTGGACAGCGTGGCGGCGCTGCTGCACTCGGAGGGCCTCGCGGCAGAGATCCTCTCCGCGCTGCTCTGGGAGCCGACCGTCGCCGCGCTGGCCGCCGCCGCGCGCGCCGCCGCCGCCCGCGCGCAGAGCGCCGCGTCCGAGGCGCACTCTGCGCCAGAGGGCACCCAAGTCCCGAGGCGTGAGCGGCGCACACTCACGCGCCCGGCTGTGAGTAGGCGCGGCGTGCCGACGGGCGGGCGCAGCTGGATGCGGTCTACAGCGGGTACGCCGCCGCTTGCCGCCACGCCGCGGCGCACGGCTTGCACGCGCAGATCGACCAGGTCGCGCGCAGCTTGGCCGCCGCCTCGTCGCTGCAGCAGCCGCTTCGCTCGGCGGCGCAGCCGGCGGCGGCCTTCGCTGGCGCGCTGCCCGCGCGGCTCGCGGCGGGCGCGTTGCTTCGGCTCGCGCGGGAGGAGGGGCACGCGCTTCGGCGGGGGGGTTGGGACGCCGCCGTCGGCTGCGTGCTCGCGCTCGACGACCGCGCCCTCCTGCCGGCCGATTTTGCGCAAGACGCGCCGCTGCTGCCGCCGCACCCGCCGCGGCCGGTAGTGGAGCGGTCCGCCTCGCCGCCAAAGGCATCCTTCTCGGGCTGGCTCGCCTCCTCGCTCTCCGCGCTGGTCGTCGGAGGTGCGGACGGGGGCCGGGAGAGCGGCGAGGCCGCCGAGCAGGCCGCGCGGCGCGAGGTAGAGTCCCTTTGCGTGGCGCACCTCTTTCGAGACTCTGCCCACCTCCCCCTCGACGCGCTCACCGCCCTCGTCGCCGCCCTCTCCGCCGCCGCCGTCGCCACGCCGCCGCCCGCCGCCCCGCTCCAGCGGCCGCCCTCGCCCCGGGCCCCGGCCGACGCCGCCAGCCCCGCGTCCGGAGCCGGCTCACCGCAGCCGCCTCCGACGCCCGGCGGCGAGGGGGGAGGCGCCGCGCCAGCGACGCCGCTGCCCCAAGCGTGCGCGCCTCCTCCTTCCACGCCCGTCGCCACGCCGCCCCCGCTCGCAGCCGTCGGCGGCGGCGCCACTCCCGAGGGCCGCCGCGGCGGTGCGGCGGGTGGCGTGGCGGAGGAGGGCGGCGGCGGGCCGTCTGTGCGGCGGCGGGCCGTGGCACTGGCGCTGCTGGCAGAGGTGCTCGCGCGCAACCGAGACCGCTTCGAGGTGCGTGCGCCACCGGCAGATCCGCCGAGATTGGTCGAGATTGGCCGAGATAGGCCGAGGTGGCTGCCCGAGAGAGCCCCCGTTTTTGTGCTCTTCGCCCACAACGCACGCGCCCCCGTCCACCAGACGGCGTGGCCACTCGCCGAGCCTTGCTTCGCCGCGGCGCTGGGTGGCGGCGGGCTCGGGGCGGGGGGGGGGGGCGAGAGGGGAGGGATGTTTGCGGCGGCGGCGGTCGAGCACGCGTCGCATTGTGTGTTGCGGTTGGCGGCGCGGCTGACGCACCGCGAGGGCGCAGTCGAGAGCACGGTGCGGCTGCTGGGCCGCCTGCCGGCGGGCTTCACGGACGCCGCAGGCGACGTGCCTGGGCCGTCTGCGGCCGCCGACGGGCGGGGCGGGCGGCGCGGCGAAGGAGGGTTGCCGGTGCTGTCGCCAAAGGCGGCGGCGGCCCTCGGAGCGGAGATGGCGGCGATGTTGTTGGCCGGCGGCGGCGCGGGGCTCGCCACGCGGGGGACTTGGCTCGGGCTCGTTCGCTTCGCGGCCGCCGTGTCTGCGTCGGCGGACGAGCGCGGCGCTCGCGCCGGCAGCGAGGCGAGACTTGCTCCAGATCTGCCCGATCGCTGCACCGACCGTGTCTCCTCCGCCGCCTCCAACCCCCCTCCCCCTCTCCCTCCCGCCCGCCCGCCAGGCGCTCTCCTCGCTGTGCAGCCACTCGGCGCACGCCTGCCCGCTGCACGAGAGCCTGCCCGAGCTGTGGCCGCTGCTGCTACTGCACGCGCGCGCCTGCCGCACGCCCGCGCATTGCGAGCGCGCCGTCGGCCTGATGGCGGATGTGCACGCGCGGTTGAGAGAGGAGACAGCGGGCGGGGGCGGCGAGGCGCCGTCGGAGGAGTGGCGCGCCGACTGGCTGCTCGTGCTGCGCGGCTTTTGCTCCCTCTGCCTCGACACGCGGCTGCCTTGCCGCGACGCGCCGCTGCTGGCGCTTCAGCGCGCGGCGCGCGCACGCGGCCTCCCGAAGCCTCGCCCCATGGCGGGTGGCGTCTCTTCACGCCCGTCTCTCGCCGTGCACAGGTCTTGGCGGGCGACCCTCCGGCGCTGCCTCCCGCAGTGTGGGCAGAGGCGTTCGAGCAGGCGCCGCACCCTCCCCGCTGCTGAGAGGGGCCGCTGTGGACGGCCTCCCGTCACCGCGTGCGGCTGCGACTAGGCGGTCTTCCCTCTGCTGACCGAGCTGCTGCGCCAGTGGGTCGCAGCGACGGACGCAGCCGAGCAGGAGAGGCTGATGCTGCGAGGCGTGACGCTCCTCTCAAAGGCCTTCCTGCACCACCTCTCCGGCCTGCTCTCGCTCCGCAGCTTCCACCTGCTCTGGCGCGCAGCCAAGATGCAGCCGAGACGCAGTCGATACGCGGCGAGGGAGGGGAGAAGGTTGCTCACTACCCCTCACCACCCCTCCCTCCCCAGGCTGCGTGCGCTCGAGTTGCTCGAGCAGTTCCTGCGCGCGCCCCAGTCGGAGCTGCTCGCCGAGGCGGTGCCTGAGACGCTCAAGAACATGCTCCTCGTCATGGGCGCGCGACACTTCCGAGACTGCTCCTCGCCACGCCGCGCTCTCCCTCCCACCGCGCGCTATGCCAACCTCCCCGCCCGCTTGCGTGAATGCATGCCGGTGACACGTGCGCGACGCGTGCCGCAGGCGCGTCGGGCGCGTTCGAGAGCCGCGCGCGCGTCGGCGACACGCCGCAGACGCTCGCGCAGCTGACGGCGGCTGTCGTGGAGACGATGTGCCCCCAGCTGTCGGGGTCCCCGGACTTGGCCGGACTGTGGCATGAGGCGCAGCCGGCGGCCGCGCCCGCGGTCGCTGCGGCCTGAGGGGCGCCCGCGAGGCGGGCCACCATGCCGTGCGGCGAGGCGGCGTGTTGCTGTGTTGGGCGTTGCTGCCGCTAGCTGGGGGCGGGGCGAGATCAGCCCAACGAAAGCAATGGCAAGCGGCAGCTCCGGTTGGCGGGCTGAGGACTGTGTGGGGAGGCGTCGTGGGAACCGCCCTGTGCGCCTCCTCGCTTTGTGTATAGCGTGTGACATGGAAAGGAAATCATGAGACGCCCGGGAGAGAAGCTCGCAAAGCGAAACCTATTGCAATACTTCGGGGGGTCCTGCGGGGTTAGATCTCGGCACCGCCCAACGCAGCGCTGGACGGAAAACTGATGGAGGTTGCAGCTGTCATCTGTGTCGGCGTCATCTCCAGCGCGATTGCCGACCATCTCCAATACAGACGAACTCGTTCGAGGGAGAAGCAGCGCGACGTCGATGACATCATCGATGACATCACGCTCGTCGCCCAAGCTGCCGAGCTGACAGGGTGGGACGAGCGGATGTGGCGCACCGAAGCAAGCCTAGCGCTCGTGCGTGCAGTCGACGCCCTGCCGACGCGCACATTCACGTCCGAAGAGGCGACAGGGGCCGACAACTGCTGCGCGGTCTGCCTCGCCGAATTTCGTGAAGGCGCGTGCGCAGCTTCGAGATCCAGGCGGCGAGACCCTGACGGCGCTGCGCCCGCTCTGTAGGCGGGGTCCTGCGTGACCTAACCTGCGGCCATCTGTTCCACAAGGCGCGCTCGGACATATCTGTCTCACCCAATCACCTTATGACGGGATAACAAACGACTTGTCCAGGCGTGCGTCGACCGCTGGCTTCTAACTGCGCAGAAGAATTCGGCTTTGCCCGCATGCCCACTCTGCAAGACCGTTCCACGCTCGTTGCCGTCTGCTGCCAAGCCGAAGCTTCGGCTCTTCTCCTCCTCGTGGTGAGGGTGAGGTCACGTGTATTCTGAGTGGCTGCAGGAGTCCGTAAGGGGATGTGCGGCCGCTCACACTCTGTATTTGATAGATCGTGTATTTGATAGATCGTGCTTGTCGGCGCCTGTGTGTCAGTTGTGTGTGTGTGTGTGTGTGTGTGTGTGTGTGTGTGTGTGTGTGTGTGTGTGTGTGTGTGTGTGTGTGTGTGTGTGTGTGTGTGTGTGTGTGTGGTGTGTGTGTGTGTGTGTGTGTGTGTGTGTGTGTTCCCTGAGCGCGGTTTCGCGTCGGTCTCTCTTGTGTGTGACTCTTTTGTGCGTGAGTTTTGTGTCCCGAGTGCCGAGAGGTGCGGCTCGCTCTGCGTGCAGCTGTGTTATTCGTGTATATTACGTCGTGTCTGCGCATTGGCACGCTGGAGCTCTCTGGTGTCACTGTTATGACATTATATCCGACATACTAGTATGCACCGGGACATCTTTCACAATCACAGAGCTCTGAGTACGGCAGAGCGGCCACGCAAAGCGCCTGGCCCATCGCCACCAGCAGGTGCCACGCGCAGTGCGGAGCCCAGTAGCCCTCTCCCTTCGGACTCGGGCTCTGGACGACGTACTTGAAATAGAGCGCGGCCGTCACCAGGACCACCTCGGTCGCGGCGACGGCGGGAGAGACGTGTCTCAGCAGCGGCGCCTCGCCAGGAACGCCGCCGTCGCAGCCACTTGATCTGCAGTGCTAGCAAACTGCTCTCCAGAGGAATGGTAGGCGAAGCTGGTGGCGCCGGAGGCGACGAGGAGGGCGCCTCGGAACGGCATGCCCTTTTCGGCATACGCGCCTCCAATAACCGCGTACAGGAGGTTGGAGCAGACCAAAAAGTCGGTCCACCCCCGCCGCCGCGTCCACGCGAGGCGCATCCGCCGCAGAGCTCCGCCGCAGCAGCGGCTGGCGGCGGAGCGGTGGCGCGACGGCGGAGCGGCGGAGAAGAATTTTACAACCGTCGGTCGCACGACGGCCGCGAGGTGGCATGAAGGTTGCAGCGAGAATCGGCGAGAGACTGCGAAAAGAGATAGGAAGGGGCAGACTCCCTAGGGTGGGCGACGGCTAGCGCATCACACTCCTCTCCTTAAAATCCCTGTGTGGTGGCGGCGTGCCGTCCTCCCATCCCTCCCTTGGGTTGTCTGTTTTCTTTCTTTTACGATTCACGCGACAGGCGAGGCGCGGGCGACAGCTTCCTCGGAGAAGAAATTTGGTGTCTCTCTCGCTCTGTCGCTGATCGTCCTTACAAGATCCTGCTCGTGCAGGTGGGGACCTTGTCCTCCTCCCATCCCTCGTTTGGTTTGTCGCTGTTCTTTCTTTTCTTTCTTTCGCTCTCTCGCTCCTCGCTCGCTCACTCACACTCTCTCTCTCTCTCTCACTCTCGCTCTCGCTCTCGCTCTCTCTCGCTCTCTCTCTCTCTCTCTCTCTCTCTCTCTCTCTCTCTCTCTCTCTCTCTCTCGCTCGCTCTCGCTCTCGCTCTCGCTCTCGCTCTCGCTCTCGCTCTCGCTCTCTCGCTCTCTCTCAGATTCTCTCTCTCTCTCTCTCTCTCTCTCTCTCTCTCTCTCTCTCTCTCTCCCTCTCTCGCTCTCTCTCTCGCTCTCTCTCTCTCGCTCTCTCTCAGATTCTCTCTCTCTCTCTCTCTCTCTCTCTCTCTCTCTCTCTCTCTCGCTCTCGCTCTCGCTCTCTCGTACGTGTAGAGAATTTTGAAACCCAACCACAAATCATGACTCTCACAGTGATTTGGGCTCGGCAGCTTGTTGGGGCCGGTCCCGTAGCCGAGAGAGCCCCTTGTTTCTCACTTTCTGAGGTAAGAACGCTCGGACTGTGGGCGGTACGAATATAGAAGACTGGTGCCTGATATGCTGCCTCCCTGCGGATGCTGCCGGCGAGCCTGGCGGTCCGCTGTTACTACAAGGATGTGCTGACTCGATCCCCCCCCGCAATCTTCTACCCCCACGACTCGGAACACGAATGTGACAGGACCCATCGGGTCCTTCACAGGTCAGAGAGAGAGATTTTTGAAAATCAACAAGAAATCACGACTCCCACAGTGATTTGGGCTCGGCAGCTTGTTAGCCCTCAGCCGAAGCTGGAAGCTGGGGCCGGTCCCGTAGCCGAGAGAGCCCGCGCCGTGAGTTCGACGCGGTCGGGAGGCTTGCGGAGAGGCCAGCGAGGTGGCGATCGCTGTACTTCATGGTGTCATCAAGTGACCGGCTGACAAGCCAGAGGTCGATACTCTGGACGACCCATAGGATGCCACGAATGCCTGAGGCTAGGCCTGAAGGAGAGGGAGGCGAGGCCAGAGGCAGACTCAGCTGCTCTCGGGTGATCTCGCTTTCATGGTGGCTGAATGAAGGAAGAAGTAGACGACGCGGGCTCTCTCGGCTACGGGACCGGCCCCAGCTTCGGCTGAGGGCTGACAAGCTGCCGAGCCCAAATCACTGTGGGAGTCGTGATTTCTTGTTGGTTTTCAATTGCTAAAAATCTCAAACAAACAAATCTCAAATCTCTCCCCCCCCCTGGATGATTGGTTGGATGGGTGGAGACAAGCAAGGAGGATCTCTCTCTCACGCCTTACTTAGGTGTGTTGGCGAAGTTATCATGAAGGAAAACAATTCGCGTTGACACGCGTCGGCGAGCGTTCTCGGGCACCTTGCAAGCGAGGGGAATGGGATTGAGAAGCCGGGGGGGATAACTCTCACCGCCTCAATTCGACGGCGCAATCCTTGCTCAACAGCATCTCTCTCTCTATTCCTCGTCGCATGGTGAAGCAAACGATCTCCAAGCTCTGGGGCGAGCCCGCCATGTGCATCACGCCGAACTGGCAGTATTTATCGCCAAAGAGCTGGACCAAGGGCGACGTGCGCTTCAACAATAGCCATCACCGAGTCGCCGCTCCGTCATCGCCGCTTGCCTCCCTCGCAAACGCCACCACCTGCTCACCAACTCACAATCACCACCCTTACACCACCACTGTCTGACCCGACCGCCTCCGACCCGCTCGCAGCTGGACTCCTTTTTCATGCTCTTCTTTGACAACTTCTCTTCCCTCCTCGGCATCCTGTCCGCTATGCTCACCGCGCCGATGATCGCCTGCTCCTTCACGTTCACCGCGAACGATGGCGAGCCCAACTACCCCGCGTACTACCAAGCGTTCGCGGACATGGTCTTCCAACGGGTTTGCCCGGGCATCGGCTGCGCCCTCCTGTTCGGCAACATCTGGTACGCGATTATGGCCGCCAAGCTGTCCCGCAAGGAGAACCGCGCCGACGTTACCGCCCTCCCCTATGGCGTCAACGCGCCCGCCGGCTTCCTCATGGTCTACATGGTGCGAGACGCCACTGTTGTCGCCCTACACACACCCTCTGGCTGTTGGAGCCCGCCGCCCGCCGCCGCAGTACCGCACACCAGCCCAGACGCCCCACCGCTCTGTCCAAAGGTGATGCTGCCGCTCTGCTTCAAAAACTCGCCCTACGTCGAGTTCAATTTCAACGGAAAGCCTGTTTCGGAGCTTCTGTCGCCCGAGGACTTCGCGTGGGAGGCTTTCGCGGCGGCCTGCTGCGCCAACCTGATCGGCGGACTCTTCGAGGTGTGCGGCATCGGCCTCGCCCAGATCATCCGGCGCAACGTGCCCCGCGCCGCTCTCTTCGCTCCCATCTGCGGCGTCGGCTTCGTGTGGCTCGGCCTCAGCCCGCTCATCGACGTGATGCGCGAGCCGCTCATCGGCCTCCTCCCGCTAGCGCTCTGCTTCACGGGCTTCTTCGCCAACGGCGGCAAGGGCATCTACCCCGCGCGCGTGCCCGCCGCGCTCGTCATCTTCGCCGTCGGCACCGCCCTCTGGTGGAGCGGTGAGCCATACCCGAGACGCGGATCGGACGTAGCCTGCACAGATTCACGACGCGTCCATGGCACGCCCCCGCAGGCCTCGCTCGCTGGGACACCGAAAACCGCGACGGCTGCGGCGAGACCGGCGGCACGGGCGACCTGAACGAGCGCTCGGTAATGGGGTGCCAGGCCAAGTTCGCGGCGGAGACCTACGTGGGCAAGAACAAGTTCTCGCCCTTCACCGTCCTCGAGGGCTTTAAGGACATCACCGCGCGCGCCATCGCCATCCAGCTGCCAATCGCGCTCGCCTCCTTCCTCGAGACGATCGAGAACGTCGAGGCGGCGGAGCTCGGCGGCGACAGCTACAACGTGCACGAGGCGATGCTCTGCGACGGGCTCGGCACCATGTTCGGCGCCATCTGTGGCGCCACGATCCCGACGACGGTGCGACGAGAGGACCACCGCAGCGGCGCACGGCGTGACGAGCGACTCTTCACGCCTGCACCTGTGGAACAGGTGTACATTGGCCACCGGAGGCACAAGGCGTCGGGCGCGACCGCGGGCTACTCGCTCTGCAACGGACTCGCGTACTTTGTCCTCATGATGAGCGGCCTCACCGGCCTCTTCTTCTACCTCATCGACGGTGTCTCGATCGGGGTCATCCTCATCGCCGTGGGCCTGATGATCGTGCAGCAGGCGCTGGAGGTGTCGCCGTCGCGCCACTACCCGTGCCTGATGGTCGGCATCATGTTCGTGGTCGCCGACATGATCTACTTCGACCACTTCAACGCTGGAGTCGGCATGGCCACCCGCTCGCTCGGCCGCATGCGCGGCGTCTCCAACATGGCGCCCGCGGGCGGCATCATGTGCTCGCTCATCGTGAGCTGGATTCTGTGCGACCTCACCGACTCGAACTTTGTGCGCGGCGGCGTCGTCGCCGCCCTCGCCTCCTTCCTCTCCCTCTTCGGCCTCATGCACGGCAACAACTACGTTTTCTCGGACGGGACGGTGATGTCCGCCGACACGGGAGGCGACCACTACACCACCGACCTGGGCGAGGTGGTCCTCTCTACCTTCACGGAGCCCAAGGTCGGCCGTGCCCCACCCAGTCTACGCGCCCCGCCAAGCGAGGAGGAATGCTGATCCGCCTCACACCTTGCCCCCATAGACCAACGCATTGGGCTTCGCGACGAACTACACGTTCGACGCGTCGAGCTACAAGATCAACAACGACGAGATTCGGCCGTTCAACGAGGGCTGGCGCTTCGCCATCGCGTACGGGGCGCTCGCCCTCTTTTGCGCGGCGCACGCGGCCTACTTCAAGTATTTCGCGCCTGGGCAGAAGGCTGCCCCCGAGGGCAAGGACGCCACGCCGGTCGCGATCTCGACCGCGGCCTGAGCCCGAAGCAAGGACTATTGCGCAAGGCTCCACACTGCTAGTGTGTGTGGCAAGCGCGCGCGAGCGGCGCATCGAGGGAATCTGGGATGGCACTTGGGGTGGCTTGCGTACACTTGGCTTGCGACTGTACACTTGGGGCTGGGCGCGGGGCTGCGCGTGTAGCGCGTATAGGGGAAGGGGTTGGGGATTAGGGGGGGCGTGCGCGACTCCTGAGTGCTGAGAGGCAGAGCTCGCGGCTTTCCTGTGCGGCTCTCGCAGTTCACTGAGTGCTAGTGCTCGGGACGGCGCGGTTATGCATGTGTCCGGGGGGAGAGAGTGGGACGCCCGGTGCCGGAAGGTTTGAGTGTTTTGTTCGTTTCGTTAAACGGATCTCACACTCACTCTACCCTCGCAGCCTTCTTCCTCCCCTTCCGACCGCCTGACTCCTTGCCCGCTCTCCGCGTCCTCTTACCTTTCCCATGCTTGCGCTCCCACCGCCGGCCGCTCGGGCCTTCCCCGCCGTCGCCGGCAGCCTCCTCGTGGCCCACGTCGCCGCCGCCGCCACCAGGACCGTCGTCATTGCCTCCACCGCCACCGCCGCCCCTGCCACGCGAGTCGGCTGCGGCTCGCGCCTGCTCGCGCGGCACCGCCGACGGCTCGTAGGACCACGCGAGGACCCATCGCGAAGTGGTGCCTGTCGCAATCGCGTGACACGCTCACGGCTCTGTGAATGGGAGGACGTTGCAGGTCGGAGCGCTGGCCTTGCGCGAGCTCGGTGGTGCGCACGTGCACCGCCCCCGCCTCGTCGAGCCTCTGCAGCAGCGGCGAGAGCGACGCCTTCCGCCCGACGAGCGAAGAGAACCAGCCGGCGGCGTCGCGCATGCCTAGGGTAAGGTCAGATGATCGTCTCCGCACACACACGATGGTAGGGCAAGGGGGGAGGACGGGCGGTGTGCGTGTGAGCGTGCCTGCCGACTCGCTGATCAGCCGCGAGACAAAGCCGACCTCGCCGCCCGCCGTGAAGAGCTCGCTCCTCGACGCCTCGCACCGCTCCCCTACCCACACGCGCGAGCCGTCAGCACACCGCCTCTCCCGCAGCGGCGAGTCTTCACACCGCTCGCCGGCGCGGTCCGCTCGCCCGCGCGGCGCCTCGTTCTCGCCGTAGAAGGGCGGGTTGCACATGCACGCCGCCACCCGCTCCCCATCCACCAAGGCCTGCCGCAACACGCCGCCGCACCCCTCGCCACATCCGTCGCCCCCACCCTCGCCCCCACCCTCGCCGCCGCCCTCGCCGCCGCCGCCGCCGCCGCCGGTGAAGCGCACGCAAATCTCGTCATCGAGTCCGTTGAGCGCCACCTGCACCTCGAGCGCGAGCTCGCTCAGACTCGAGCAGTCTCCCGCGTGAGGCCGCGGGCGAGTCACGTTTGCGCGCGCCGCCTCCGCCGCCGCCTAGGGGCAGTGAGGCCAGCCAGATCAGGCGAGGGAGGGCTGAGGGGCGTGAGGCCAAAGGCATGGACTGCATGCCGAAGGCACGTGGGCGAGAGGGGGGCGAGAGGTGGGCGAGAGGGTGGGCGTGTGTGCGCGTGCGTGTGCGTGTGTGGCCTCGTCGATCTCCGACGCGATGAAGCGCCAGCCGAGCAGCGCACTGCCCAGCAGCGGATAGATGGCGGAGGCGCCTGGAGGTGCAGCCGAGGCGTAGCTGAGATGCAGTCGAGAAGAAACGGCACCGGAGGCAGACGCGAGATGCGTTCCCGCGATAAAGCCGAGATGCAGCGGCGGTGGATGGCAAGTTGTTAGATGCGACTCGAGATGTGATCTCGATGCGATTCGAGATGTGATCTCGGTGCGATTCGAGATGTGATCTCGGTGCGACTCGAGATGTGATCTCGATGCGATTCGAGATGTGATCTCGGTGCGAATCGAGATGTGATCTCGATGCGATTCGAGATGTGATCTCGGTGCGATTCGAGATGTGGTGATCTCGGTGCGATTCGAGATGTGATCTCGGTGCGATCTCGAGCGGTGATCTCGATGGAGGCGCCTGTTCCGATGTCTAGCACGAGCGGAGGCGGAGGCGCTTGTTCGTCGGCCCGCGGGCTTGGGCGGAGGCGGAGGAGGTCTTCGAGCCTGCAGAGCACGCGGCGCGGTGTGGAAGGGTGTCTCGGGCTCAGCCCTCCCGTGCTCCAGGGAATGGTGTCGCCACAGTCTCTAGAGCGCTGGCAAGAGCACAGGGGTGGGTCTTTGGCGCACCAGAGCAGATAGTTGATGCGGGACGGGACGGGAGGGCAGAGGTGGCCGGCCGGCAAGCGCCAGCGGAGCCTAAGAGAGGGCGTGTGAAGACCGGCTGTGAAGACAGCACAGGCAAGATCACCCGACGACTGTGCGTCGGTGAGGCGTGACCCAAAAGCGGACCCATCCGCCCGAGCTCCCAACGTGTCTTCTCGCATTTACGCCGAGCGCCCAAAGTGCTGCCACAGCAGCGCCCGGGTGAGCGCGACGGCGGCGTCGGGCGCGCTCCAGTCGAGGCTGGCGCCGCCGCCGGGCCGACCGGGCCGCACGTGCCTCGCAAAGTCGGGGTCGAAGCGAGCTGATGCGGAGAGGGTGGGGCTGGGTGAGTGGCGGTGAGGAGAGGACGGCGGTGGTGGGCGGGCACAGAGGCGGTGTGGGAGGCGGCGGCGAGGTTGTGGCGGCGTGCGCGGAGAGGGCGGCGCGGAGAGTGAGAGGCACGAGGAGCGATCGAGTAATTGAAGAGAGCGCGTGAGGTCAACCGACTCACGCACCCAGCGCGGCAAAGTCCGGTGGCTGGTCCTTATACGGGTTGCGAGGGTGCATGAGGCGCGCAGAGCGCTGCGCCAGGTGCGTGCCGTGCGGGGCGGCCTGCGGCAACGCCATTGAAAGGAAGAAATTCCGAAGCCTCGACTCTTTTGCAAGGTTGCAGCGAGAATCGGCGAGGGACTGGACCTCTTTCTTCTTCTAGGCCATCGCCAAACGCCCCAACGCGTTCGATCTCCGACATCCAGAACGTCATGGACGCAGTGTCCTGGACGTGAACGTGACATCCAGCTTGAGGAATCAGGGTTTACATGCTGACTGGCGGAGAGTCTCCCTCCTCTTCGCTCGAGTCGAAGGACGTCGTCGCCGATGGAGTCCTTGTCACCATTGCCCCCCGCGTCTCCGAGGAGACCGCAGTGATTGCGTCAAACCAGGACCAGCGGAAGCATGGCGGTGCCTCAACGCTCCTTGGGCGCACCGGTCCTGGTGTGAGAATAGTTCGGATCATTTTGCTCGCGGCGGGACTGGTCGCTCTCGCCCTCGCGCTCTGGAAGACCGCAGCCGTTGCTCCGTCGTTAATTCAGGCGAACGGGCTGCCACTCGGACTCGCCCAAACCGGAGCTTACTTCATCGCCTACTTGTGTGAAGCCGTCCTCATTGTTGCGGTGACCCCATTCGTGGCGGCGAAGGAGGCTGTGGGGTTTGCTGCTGTCAAGCTCTGGCAGGTGGCAACCGCTTACTTCTCATTCGCTTGGGATGTCATCGCCGCAGTCTTCTCATTCGCTTGGGATCTCATCGCCGCAGTCTTCACCCTCCTTTCGGACGCCGCCGCCACAGTCTTCTCCTTCACTGAAGAATTTATCCTCGTCCCCATGGCCCACTTCCTCCAGCCAGGCGCACAGATTGTCCGGGACAAGGCGGTGACGGTCGCGGAGACTGTCAAGGACGTGGCTGTCTGGCCGTACGAGAACGTCGTGCAGCCTGCCGGAGAGGCGGTTGTAGGCTGCGTGCAGGACGTGTTTTCCTGGTCGTACCAGCGTGTCTTGCAGCCCATCGGACATGCGATTGGCGCCACCGCGACATTCGTGATGGATGCCGTCATTGCCCCGTCACTCAATGCCTTGGCGTGGGCCGTCGCGAAAATGTGGCAAGGATTGTTTTGGATCGGCGACGCGATCCTCGAGGGCATCTCCCGCATTGTGGTGTACCTCTACGAGCATGCGGTGGTGCCTGTGTCTCACGGCATTCGATTAGTCGGGGCAGAAATCGGAAATGGCTTGGGTGCCGCCGCCAGCTGGGTGTGTGGCCACATTTTGGCTCCTGTTGCAAACGCAGTCAGCGCTGCCGCATCAGCCTCCTACCACTATGTGATAGAGCCTGTTGGTTCAGGGATCGGATGGCTAGTCTCCACCCTAGCCAGCGGCATTGCATCCGCAGGCTCCACCACCTATCGATTCGTCATCGAGCCGGTTGGCTCAGAGGTGGGCTCGCTCGCCGGCATCGTGAGCAGTGCCACGGCGCGTTCCTGGGCCGCGGTGAGCTACGTGATGGCTCAGACCAGGCCGCACGCGACGCCCTCGCCACCCCCGCCCCCGCCGTACCCACAGCCGCCGCCACCGCCTCCGCCTCCACTCATCAACGTGTTGCTCGGCGCCGCGTGGAGCGGCGTTCAGGCGCACCTCGGAGGAAGACTGTGAGGCTTGTCGTTTGCGTGTATCTTTTCCCCACCCAACCTGTGTCAACTTGAACTAATTTATCATCAATCTGAGAGAGATTTTTAGCAATACCAAACAACTCTAACACTCACACATCATTTGGGGCCTGGAGCCCCGGCAGTTAAATCTTCGTGGAAAACAGATCTTCAAGGGAGTCGTTAAAGGCCCTGGCCTCGCTGTTCACGCGCGCGCGAGACGTGCACACAGGGTTGCCAGGTGAGAGCGAATGGCGCGGTTCACGCTTCCCACAAGAGCGGCCGCACACTGCCCTTCACTGCTCGGTACCCCCCTTGCACATCTAAAATCATGGCCGACCCCCCCCCCCCCCCCCCAAAAACAAAAAAAATCTTTGCCCCTTGGGGCCGGGGTTGGGGACCCCCCCCTCAAGGGCAAGAGGAAAGCCGTGCCCCCCCCCCAACAAACCAACCCCCCCCCACAAACAGCATTTTTGTGCAGACAGCGGTAAGTAGGGATCCAGAGAATTTTTTCGCCGGCTTGCGTACGCCGCCCAGTCGTCGGCAAGGTGCTGCATATGAAATGGCTTGAGGGAGAGCCGCATGGCTTCCACCACGTCGCCGCCGCCTGCCCCTCCGCCGCCCTCGCCGCCGCCGCCGTCGCTGTCGCCCTCACCGCCTCCCACGCCGCCGCCTCCGGTGCCGCCGCCGCCTGCCCCTCCGCCGCCCTCGCCGCCGCCCTCGCCGCCGCCGCCGTCGCTGTCGCCCTCGCCGCCCCCCAATCCTCCGCCCTCCACGCCGCCGCCAGCCCCGCCCCCTCCCACGCCGCCGCCTTTGTCACCGCCACCTGTGCTACCGCCCCCCTCCCCGCCGACGCCGCCGGCCATTCCACCTCCACCCTTCCCGCCTCTGCCGCCGCTGTGGTCTTACCGTCGCCGCCGCCGCCGCCGCTGGCCCCACCCTCGCTGCCTCCTCACCCTCCGCAGAAGGCGCCGACGCCGACGCCGCCTCGGCCGCTCGCCCCACCGACCGAAGGCTGCTTGGACTCGATCGCCAAAAACTTCAACCCGGATGTCGACGTCAACAACGCCGCCCTCTGCGAGTACAACTTCGCGGACGGGGAGATCGCGGTGTTCGGCTCAGCGGCGCCGCCCCTCCACTCGGGCGCGTTCGTCTTGCGCCATTCGATGGCCGTCCACGTAATCGTCTTTGCGGCCTTCCTGGCTGCGTTGGTCGCCTCTCGCACCGCCACCTGCATCGCGGTGAGGCGCTCGCCGTCGCGCCCCCCTCGCGTGGGGGGTGGTACATAGCCCGTTGCCGCCATTCTCGCCCTCGTGGCCGCTCGTTCGCGTTGTGTCGGGGCGGGGAGGGCTCCCGACGCCGCCGCCCTGAACCGCCGCCACTGTTCGACGCTGGGTAGGTTATTGCCCGCTGTGGTGAGCGCCGCGGCGACGTCGAGCGCCTGTTTGACCCTGTGGTCAGCTCCATATGATCTCGGATATTTTTTGTAGGCACCGGAACGCCAAAAAACTAGTATGTCTTCGAGTGAAAAGTAATCCGAGCAAACCCGCGGCCGCAGTGAATTAAAATGGGCGGTTTTCGAGGGGGAATCTGGAGAATCTGGGAATCTGCTCACCACGGATCCCCACCTCATCGAAAAACTTTTCACTCCAAGACATACTAGTTTTTTAAGGTGCTCTACAACCTAGGCACAAAAGATATGGCATTGCCGGCCATTTAGGATTCCTAGACGGTCACTGAGTACGCCAAAATCCCCACTGGGCCGGGAGCGAGCTTAAATTCTTCAGCTCCGCTTTCTCTTTGCCTGAGGGCGTCGCTGTTCACCGCCGCATCGCCGCTCCTCCCGCTCGCCGTCGCCCACCCGATGCCGGAGGACGACGAGGAGGCGGCTGCGCGTGAGCGTGCGCAGCGGTACATCAAATTTGGCACCGTCACCGAGAAGAATGTCGAGCAGCTACGCAAGCTGAACCTCGCAGTCTTCCCCGTCCGGTGAGCCGCCGCCTCCGCCGTGCGTGCCCGCACAGCAAGGCCTCTACGGGCGAGCCACTGGCGCATGCGCCAACGCCACCTCACGCCAGCGTCGCGTGGCTCGTGAACGCTTCACAATCGCTGCGGTGGCGGTGCCAGGCGCTGCCGCCGAGCATGCCTTTCGCAGCGTCTCCCTCTCCCTCTCCCTGGTAGGTATAACGACAAGTTCTACTCGGACCTGGCTTCGGCGCCGTCACAGGCGTACACGCACCTCGCCTACTTCAACGACATCCTCGTCGGCGCCATCTGCTGCCGCATCGAGCCGCAGGAGCCCCGCCCCCGCTCCACCGGCCACTGTTTGCGGACCCCTGGCACCCGACCCTGGCCTCGACACCGCTGTCCTCTGGCCCTCCAACCCGCCCGCCTGCCGCCACCGCGGAAGGCGCCGCGCCTTCCCGCCGGGTGGCGCTGGAGTCTGACGCGTGAGGCTCTGATCACCGCAGGAGGGGGCCGCCTTTAAGCTCTACATCATGACGATCGGCGTGCTTGCGCCCTACCGCCGGCTGGGCATCGGCACGCAGCTGCTCAAGCAGGCGCCCCGCTCCGGCGAGGAGGCTCCTCTGCCCCAGCACCTCCCTCCCTCTCACCTCTGCTCGCTCGGGGCAGGTGCTGCACGCGTGCGCGCTCGAGCCCAACCTGCAGGCGCCGCTGCCCGCCCTCCGCCAGGCTCCACCAGGCGAGATGCACCCGAGGTCGGGATGCGCCTCCCCCCCCCCTCCCCACCCCACCCCCGCAGGAGCTGTACCTGCACGTGCAGACCTCAAACAGCGACGCGATCGACTTTTACACGCGGCGAGCTGCCCACCCTCCCCGCCTGCCGGGCTTAAACCCGCCCCCTCCCTCTCGACAGCTCGCCGGCTGCGGACAGGTTCGGCTTCTCGCAGGGCGAGGTGATCAAGGACTACTACAAGCGGATCGAGCCGCCGGACGCGGTGGCCGAGCGACACGCACACGCACACACAGCCACGCGCGCGCGCGCGCACACACACACACGCCGTCACCACCACCACCGCGATCCCTCCCGCTCTCCCCTCGCAACGGCCCTTCACACCGCCGCGTGTGAGCAGGTGCTGCTGCACCGTGTCGCGCCCTTCCCAGTGCTCTCCAAGGAGGAGCAGCCCGCCCGGTACGCGTAGCTTGAGGAGGAACTGTGTGCTCTGCACTTGGAGCACTGCGATGCGTCTTTTATTTTCGGGCCTCGCTATTGTCGACCCCTTTTGCGCAGCAACACCTTAAACGACTTTTAGGCGGCGGCCCTCCAAATTCGGGTCGGAGCGTAGCCGTAGGGCGTAGGCCGTAGCGCTAGCGGAGTGTGTCGTGGGGATTGGAGTGGTCTGACCAGCAAGAAGACGGGTCGAGGCCCTCCGTAGGCTCGTGAGGCGTCCCTCGTCCCTCTTCAATAGAGGGATAGGCATCTGGACCCAAAGGTTGGTGCCCAGCAGGTGTGAGTGGTGAGCCGCGTGCGCGGCTCTGCTGTACTGGTGATCGCGGGTGAGGCTGCAAAGCCATCCTCGATCCGGGTGCCGTCTCAGACGACTGTAGATTGGTATTAAGGTATAAGGAACTCGTATCCGAGTGGTTAAAGGGAATGGCGTGGTGTCACGCCGGGTTGTGTGTGTCACATGACACAAAGAGGTCGACTGTCTCGCGGCGCGGCGGCCCCACGAGAAGTAGTCAGAGACTATTACGTGCCAATATTTGGGCGCCTATTCGGCGCCCGACGGAGGTGCCAATATTAGGGATCTAGGTGGCGTGACGTGCCACTGCACAGGGTGTGGGAATATAGGGATATAGGTAGACTATTCATCACTGTGGGGGGGGAGAGTGTGATAATAGGGGTGCTGGGGTGGGGCTGGTGGAGGTGATTCTCCGGGTCAGTCTGAAGGTCATTCTCCACCACCTCCTGCGACAGCTGGGTAGCCATTCCCCGGGGAGGGGATTGTCAGGGGCTGTGTCAGGGGCTGTCTGAGTCGGGGAGGGGGCCGTCAGAGGCTGTGTCAGGAGCTGTCTGAGCCGAACTTGTTTGTATGATACCAACTGGCGTTGAGTTGAACCACCGGTATTATTCACACCCCGGAGGGCTGGTGTATCCATCTCGTGGCTTTCAGGGTTGTCCTGGTAGTTTGATAGGTTGAGCCTGGCAGCTTGGCAAGCGTGCCGCGTGCCTGGTAGTTTGATAGCTTGGTAGACTGGTAGTCTGATGGCTTGAGCCTGGTAGCTTGGATGGTAGCTTGGATGGCGCTCTGATATGGATAACCCTGTCAGCACGGTGCCTGTAGCTTGCATGGTAGCTTGGATGGCGCTCTGATATGGATAACCCTGTCAGCACGGTGCCTGTAGCTTGCATGGTAGCTTGGATGGCGCTCTGATATGGATAACCCTGTCAGCACGGTGCCTGCAGCTTGCATGGTAGCTTGGATGGCGCTCTGATATGGATAACCCTGTCAGCACGGTGCCTGTAGCTTGCATGGTAGCTTGGATGGCGCTCTGATATGGATAACCCTGTCAGCACGGTGCCTGTAGCTTGCATGGTAGCTTGGATGGCGCTCTGATATGGATAACCCTGTCAGCACGGTGCCTGCAGCTTGCATGGTAGCTTGGATGGCGCTCTGATATGGATAACCCTGTCAGCACGGTGCCTGTAGCTTGCATGGTAGCTTGGATGGCGCTCTGATATGGATAACCCTGTCAGCACGGTGCCTGTAGCTTGCATGGTAGCTTGGATGGCGCTCTGATATGGATAACCCTGTCAGCACGGTGCCTGCAGCTTGCATGGTAGCTTGGATGGCGCTCTGATATGGATAACCCTGTCAGCACGGTGCCTGCAGCTTGCATGGTAGCTTGGTCTGCGTGCGACACGATGGCGACCGATCATCGTGAAGAGTCCCTGTGCGGCGTGATGATGACTAACCCACCACGACGGGTGCACTTTAACGCCTTGCCCAGGGCGGCGCCGGCTTGGTAGTTCAAATGTTCCACCAAGCCAGAGCTCTGGTAGTGGGTTGAGGGCGGTAATCACGTTACAGCCGCTCGGGAAGAAGCGTGTTGAGGCAGAAGACGTGCGCGAGTCGATGAAGGAGCGCGTCGCGGCGGCGAGGTGGCGAGGTAGCAGCGGCAGCGGCTTCGGTCGTGGCGCCATCCGCTATCGGCGGCGAAGCGAGAGTAGAGATGGGATCCGAACCGGGCACCGTCTCGAGCGACACGGCCGAGAGATGCGGAGGCAGTGCGCTCGTGAAGCCAGCTACCGGCGAATCGGCAGGGGAGATACCGTCGAGCGCGTCAGGCGAGCAGTATGCGGCGGCGGCTCCGGCTGCGGCGTTATCCGCTACTATTGGCTGATTCGTTCTAGGACTGCCCCGCTTGTGGAGGCCCCAGGTCCTAGGAGTATGCCTTGATCGGCGACGTCGCTCGTATGGCTTGGTGTCATGGCACGCGCCTTCGGAGTCGATGTTGGGCGCGTCGTGCAGCCTTGCAGATGCAACAGTAACAGCCGCGTCCCCAGGCGACGCATGAAGGTCGCGTGCGACGACTGAGTCGAGGCCGGGCGGCGGCACGGCGGACGGCGGCGCGAGAGACGAAGCGGGCGAAGGCGGCGACGGCGGCGAGGAGGCCGTACGCGCCGAGGTAGATCCGAGAGCGGCGTCGCGCACGCCGTCGAGAGTAGCAGCGGCGACGGACACAGCCGCGTCAGTAGGCGACAAACAGATGTCGCGTGAGACGGCTGGTTCGAGGCCGGGCGGCGGCACGGCGGACGGCGGCGCGAGCGGAGGAGCAGGCGACGACGGCGGCGACGAGGTCGTACGCGCCGAGGTAGATCCGAGAGCGGCGTCGCGCACGCCGTCGAGAGTAGCAGCGGCGACGGACACAGCCGCGTCAGTAGGCGACAAACAGATGTCGCGTGAGACGGCTGACTCGTCGGGCGGCGGCACGGCGGACGGCGGCGCGAGCGGAGGAGCAGGCGACGACGGCGGCGACGAGGTCGTACGAGCCGAGGTAGATCCGAGGGCGGCGTCGTGCACGCCGTCGAGAGTAGCAGCGGCGACGGTGGCAGCCGCGTCAGTAGGCGACACACAAAGGTCGCGTGAGACGGCTGACTCGTCGGGCGGCGGCACGGCGGACGGCGGCGCGAGCGGAGGAGCAGGCGACGACGGCGGCGAGGAAGTCGTACGAGTCGAGGTAGATCCGAGGGCGGCGTCGTGCACGCCGTCGAGAGTAGCAGCGGCGACGGACACAGCCGCGTCAGTAGGCGACAAACAGATGTCGCGTGAGACGGCTGGTTCGACGGCGGGCGGCGGCACGGCGGATGGCGGCGCGAGCGGAGGAGCAGGCGACGACGGCGGCGACGAGGTCGTACGCGCCGAGGTAGATCCGAGAGCGGCGTCGCGCACGCCGTCGAGAGTAGCAGCGGCGACGGACACAGCCGCGTCAGTAGGCGACAAACAGATGTCGCGTGAGACGGCTGGTTCGAGGCCGGGCGGCGGCACGGCGGATGGCGGCGCGAGCGGAGGAGCAGGCGACGACGGCGGCGACGAGGTCGTACGCGCCGAGGTAGATCCGAGAGCGGCGTCGCGCACGCCGTCGAGAGTAGCAGCGGCGACGGACACAGCCGCGTCAGTAGGCGACACACAAAGGTCGCGTGAGACGGCTGACTCGTCGGGCGGCGGCACGGCGGACGGCGCGAGCGGAGGAGCCGATGGCGGGGAGCTCGAGCGGGAGCCGAGCGGAGCGGAGGCAGCGTCCGGCGCGCCGAGCGACTTCGCACACCCGCTGTAGTACTGGTCCCAGCATCGGTCCCTGTACGCGACCTCGGCTCGTGTCTTGCCGCGCATCAGCCGTGTGGATGCGCGAGTGAAGACGCCGTACGTCGCGTCAAGAGCCCACGCCTCTCGGTCCTCGCGCACCTCGCGGCATCTGCGGAAACCCCAGCGCTGCCAGAGCGCGACGCTGCCCAGTTCTGCGGCGATCAAGACCCGCCCACCGTCGGCAATCGCCTTGAGTTCGGTCATCATCGCCTCGCCGATGCCCTGGCCCCGGAACTCGCGACGAGTCGCAAATGCCGGGCAGTAGAGGTAGTTGAGATGCCTATCAGAGCAGCTGACAAACCAGCATGCAGCGAGGAGTTCCCTCTGCTCGTTCAACGCGACGAGCATGCGGTAGCCGCGGCGGTACTTCAACACAGCACACAGCACAGTGGGCCACTCGTCGAAGCTCTCCTGCATAAGCTGCTCGACGTCACGGACCAGACGTACTGGCGCCTCCTTGCCGAGGATCTCGAAGGTTAAGGAGATGCTCGCCTCCTTGCCAGCAGAGTCGGCGTTGAAGGTGCCGCCTGCCTTGCCAGCGGCTGCTGCCTCGGCCGCGACATCATCCGTAATCGGAGAGACGAGCGAGGCGTCGGGAGGCGTGCCGGATGCCGGACCGACAGGCGCCAAAAAATCCGAATCGCTCCCTGCCCTGCCCCCTGCCCTGCAGGCTCCATTCCCCGGCGAGGGGGAGGCGTACGTAGAGTTGACAGTAGCAGCGGTCTCAGCTGCGACACTAGCCCCAGAGGGCGGGTCGCGTGAGACGGCGGACTGGAAGCTGTGCGGCGGCTCGACTGACGGCTCGACAGTCAGCGAAGCAGGGGAGCTCGGTCGCGTAGGCGCTGGTGATCGAATGATGTCGAGATAGTTGCGTGCACCGGGCGCGCCTGACTGCGGTAGCGGCACTGGTGCTGGTGGCTGTCCTGCGGCGGCCAGCAGAGGCGATGGTGGAGGTGATACACCGAGGTTCTGGGCAGGTTCCCGCGCGCCCAAAGCCTCGTCGGGTGTTCGCCCAAGTTCTGTTGATTCGTATCGTTGCTGCGTGATGCTCGCGTCCCGCTGCGAGTTCACTGCAATGGAATTGCTCGCTGCCACGGACAATCCAATCCCTTTCGGGTCTGTTGGGGCTTCCGTCGGAAAAGAGCTCGCCGGCAGCTCGGCAGAAAGCATCTCAGCTGGCATAGCCCCCTCCCCAACGGAGCCAGGCGGCGATGACTTGTCAAGTACATCGATGCCGCCCTTGGGCTCGGTGTTGCCACCAAGCCTGCCCAACGTGGTGTCGTGGGGATTGGAGTGGTCTGACCAGCAAGAAGACGGGTCGAGGCCCTCCGTAGGCTCGTGAGGCGTCCCTCGTCCCTCTTCAATAGAGGGATAGGCATCTGGACCCAACGGTTGGTGCCCAGCAGGTGTGAGTGGTGAGCCGCGTGCGCGGCTCTGCTGTACTGGTGATCGCGGGTGAGGCTGCAAAGCCATCCTCGATCCGGGTGCCGTCTCAGACGACTGTAGATTGGTATAAGGTATAAGGAACTCGTATCCGAGTGGTTAAAGGGAATGGCGTGGTGTCACGCCGGGTTGTGTGTGTCACATGACACAAAGAGGTCGACTGTCTCGCGGCGCGGCGGCCCCACGAGAAGCAGTCAGAGACTATTACGTGCCAATATTTGGGCGCCTATTCGGCGCCCGACGGAGGTGCCAATTAGGGATCTAGGTGGCGTGACGTGCCACTGCACAGGGTGTGGGAATATAGGGATATAGGTAGACTATTCATCACTGTGGGGGGGGAGAGTGTGATAATAGGGGTGCTGGGGTGGGGCTGGTGGAGGTGATTCTCCGGGTCAGTCTGAAGGTCATTCTCCACCACCTCCTGCGACAGTGTGGGCCCCGAGTTTGAAAAGGGCGACGGACACGCTTGCGTCCTAGCCTCCAACAACGCCTCCCCGGCGCAGAGGGGCCCCGGAGGGATGCTCAACCGCTCCACGCCACGCCGCTTGCGGCGGTCCTATTCCCAGCCAGCTCCGCAGAGCTGCTGCGTGAGTTTTGTCGCAGATTTGTGTCGCACACCCCTCTCGCCGTGTACACACGGCGTCCTGAGATGCTCCCTGCGCTGCGTGCCGCCTACGCCGCGCACATCACGGACCTAGACGCGTCCTCGGCGGAGGATGCCAAGCCGGTGCCGATCTCGCACACGCTGCTCGGCGTCGCCGGCGGCCTGCGCTCCAGCATAGCGGCCACAGGGTGGACCGAGGGGGACTTGCACTCCTCCGTGGTCCTGCTCTCGCGTCTGCCGCCGGGCGACGCCCTCTCCCGCCTCACGCTCCTCTCCTTCCTCGCGGTGCCTCAGTGGCGCGAGTTTGCCGCCCACTGCGCACGCAACTTGCAGGCGCAGCTGGGCCCCCTCTCAGACCGGCGCAAGGAGCTCCTCCTGGCGGCGTGGCTCTCGTTCGCCCTCGCCGTGCTGGCGGAGCCATCGCTGCGGGCCGCCGCCGACCTTCCCTTCCGGCACCTCGCAGAGGATGGCGAGGCCGTGCGCCGCACTCTCCCGTACGAGGCTTCGCAGACCGTCGCTCCGCTCGCGAGGCGACTCGTCTCTTCGATCAGCGCGCACGGGCCGCCCCGCTCCGGGGCGGCCTCGCCGCTGCCTCGCTCGGGCACCGCCTCGCCGCTGCCCGGCGCGGCGGCCAACGGCGCCGTCTCCCTCTCTGCCGCCGCCGCCGCCGCCAGCGACAGCGCCGCCCGCGGCGCGGCGCTGCCGTTACTGCCTCGGACCGAGGAGCTGCGATGGGGGGGCGCCGACCCTCCCCCGAACCGCACGGTCGGATCGTACGCGTCACGGGAGGAGTACATCCGCACCCACTTCTCGCTGCTGCGCGAGGACTTTGTGCGCCCGCTGCGCGACGCCATCGGCACCGTGCGGCGGGGCGAGGCGCTCCTGCGCGAGAGCGAGGCTGCACGAGGGCGTGAGGAAGCCTCTTCAACGTGCCTCGGTCTGAACAGGCTCCGCCGCGCGAGGTGAGGCTGCACAAGGGCGTGCGGATCGAGGGGACGCACATCGGAGAGCCGGGCGGTGTCCTCCACCGCCTCGTCCTCCCGACGGTCGGGCGCCGCCGCGGAGCCGGCGGCAAGCTTTCTAGTTTTGAGAGCGCGTTTGCACTCTCTTAGGCGGGCGCCGCCGAGGAGTCCGGCCTCATCAACGGCTCCCTCGTCGCTCTCTCGTCGGACGGGTGGGAGTCGTGCCGCTGCGCCGTCGTTGCCAAGCGCGGCGCTGCGCGGGGGCGCGGCGACCCAGCCGCGGAGAGTGACTCGAGTCACCGGGTCACCGACGTAGGCGCGAGGCTGCGCGGCAGCGGAACGACGGTTCGCTCTTCGTCGCATTCCAGCGCGACGGCGCCGGCGCCGACGCGAATTCGCTCGGCGCCGCGGTCGAGGACGCGGCGTACGCGTGTGAGCTCGCCGTCGCGTCTAACGCCGTCTACGAGATGCTCGAGCCTGGCGCCTACTGGGGCGCCTACCGGCCCGTGCTCGCCGCGCTGCAAGCGGCGGCGGCGGACACTTCGGGCGCTGCCTCCCGCCCGAGAAGCGCGCCTTGGCAACAAGAGGCGCCATCCACGCGGTGTGTGCTGTGAGCAGGCTTGCCCCTCGAGTCGGTGCTGCTGCGCGCCGAGGCGTGCGACGCGCCGCCAGACTTCGTCTCGCGCGGCGCGCGCAACTTCGACGTGCGGTGCGTGTTTCGCCCTCCGCTTCGTCCGGCAGGAGACCGCCAAAGATGGTGTGAACTTTACCGGGGCTGGTCTGCTCGTAGGCCGATCTTCAACGAGACGCCGCAGGAGGAGGGCATGCTCGTGGACGTGTGTTGTCCGTGGGAGCGAGCGAGCGGCGGCGGCGAGTTGGCCGGCACCTCCCTCGACGAGTTCCAGCTCCGCGCCACAAAGGCGCTGCTCTCGCACCGCTTCGGGCTCGTGCAAGGCCCTCCCGGCACCGGCAAGACTTTCGTCGGGCTGATGGTCGTCCGCACGCTGCTACGCAACGCGGCTCTATGGTCCGAAGAGGCCGCCGAGGCGCGCAGGGCTGCGCTGGCGGCGGCCGAGGCGGCGCCCGCGACAGCCGCGGCGTCTGCTTCGCCCGCGGCCCCGGCGGCGGCTTCAGACGGCAGCGTGAGCGCTGCGCGTGAGAGCGCGGCGCTGCAGGTCGTGGGAGCGCGTGAGGCGGTGGCGGATGGGTCGGTTGACTGACTGATAATCCGGTTCATCACATGCAGGCGGTGGAGCGCATGAGGCGGCGCGCGGCGGCAGCGGCCGCGGCGGCGGGCGGCGGGGCGGACGCCGCTGCGGCGGCGGCGGCGGCGGATGAGGCCGCGGCGGGCGGTGGTGCGTCGCCGGCAGCCGCAAGCCGCAAGCGCGCCGTCGTCGACAGCGACGACGAGGAGGAGGAGAGTGGCGGTCGGGCGGCCAAGGCCGCGAGAAAGGAGCAGGACGGCGGCAGCTCCGGCCCCGCGGCCGGCGAGGGCGGCGGCGGCGCAGGCCCGCCGGCGCTTCATCGGGTGGAGAGCCGGATGCTGTCTCGCGAGGAGGAGGTGGAGGCGACGCGAGAGACGCTGCTCTCGCCAAAGGTGTCTGGCGCGCGGCCGGACGGCGTGCAGAGCTGGCTCCACCACCGCCTCGCCCGCCGCCGGTCTGCGGAGAGGAAGGCGAGGGCTGCGGTTGCCGACGAGGCGACCGCCGGCGCGGTCTCGGACGCCGCCTCGGTGAGCGACCTCTCCGAGGTGAACCTGAGCGACTATCCGGACGCCGAGGAGGGCGAGCTGCCCGACGAGGGCGAGGTGGCGCCGCCGTCGGTGGCGGAGAGCGCCGAGGGGCTGTGCGGCAGCGACTCTCCTCCGATACTCGTGCTTTGCCACACCAACCACGCGCTGGACCAGTTCCTCGAGGGCATCCTCGCCTTCGAGCCGCGCGTCGTCCGCGTGGGCGGCCGGTCGCAGTCGGAGGCGCTCAAGGAGCACAACCTCGCCGAGCGGCTGCGCGTGCGCAAGGAGGAGCGGGCCGGCAGCCGCAAGACGCTGCTCGGCAACGTGCGCGCGCCTCGCCGAGGGGCCGCGCTGCGGCGGGGCGGTCCTCACACCGCTCGAGCTGTGGACAGGTGCACGCCCACCTCAAGGGGTCGCGCGAGCGCCTCTCCGCCGCCGCCAAGCAGAGCCACCGGACCTGGGGGGGAGGCCTGCTCTCGGGGCTGCTCCTGCGCGGGCAGCGATCCTTCCGCGGCGCCCTCGCAGCCGCACGGCAGGCGCCTCTTTGTAGCGAGCGGCGCCTCCTCACCTCTTCTGATGCCGTGGCCAGGCGCCCTCGCCGCTGCACTCGAGCGGCTGCCCGAGGAGGGAATGGCTGCGTGGCTGGGCTTGCCGCCGGCCGGCGAGGCTTCCCTCGAGTCGGTCCTCGCCCAGCCGCAGATGGGGCCCGCCGCGACGGAGGCGTGCTGCGACGAGGCGGACCGCGCCGCCTACTCGGGGGGGGGGCCTGCCGCCGCGATGGAGTCGGTGCCGCTGGTCGACCGCTGGGCGCTCTACAACTCGCTGCGCGCCGGGGCGCAGACGCGCGCGCAGGCGGAGCTCGTCGCCGCGCTCGAGTCGTACCGGCTCGCCGCGGCGGCGGAGCAGGCGCTGGAGGAGGCGGAGGCGCTGGCGGTGCTGCGCGGCGCGGCGGTGGTCGGCATGACGACCACGGGCGCCGCAAAGTACCAGACGCTCGTGCGGCAGCTCGAGTGCCGCGTGATTGTCTTTGAGGAGGCGGCGGAGGTGCCGCGAGAGGCGCACGGGCCGCGCGTCGTCCGCACCTCGGCCGCACCTCGGCCGCACCTCTCGTCAGGTGCTCGAGGCGCACGTGCTCGCCTCGCTCGGGAAGTCGACCGCGCAGCTGCTCCTCATCGGCGACCACCAGCAGCTGCGCCCCTCCGCCGCCTGCCACGAGCTCGCGCTCCACTACGGCCTCACCGTCTCCCTCTTCGAGCGCGCGCTCAACAACAACGTGCCGTACGTGCGGCTGCGCACGCAGCGGCGGATGCGGCCGCAGATCTCGCGGCTGCTCTCGCCCATCTACCCGGAGCTGATCGACCACCCGTCGACCTTCAACCGACCCGCCGTGGTCGGCCTCGCGCACCCCGCCTACTTCCTCACGCACCAGTCGCCGGAGAGGACGCAAGGCGACCTCATCTCGCCCGAGAACCCGCACGAGGTCGAGGTGCTCTGCTGCCTCGCCGCGCTGCTCGTCGGCTCTGGCTACGCGCCCGCGAAGATCACCGTCCTCTCGGCGTACGTCGGCCAGCTCATCGCGCTGCGGGCGGGCTTCGCGGCGTGCGGCCTCGACGGGCTCGTCCTCTCGACCGTCGACGCGTACCAGGGCGAGGAGAACGACATCGTCCTCCTCTCCCTCGTCCGCTCCAACTCGGACGGCCGGCCGAGCTTCACGGCGCGGCGACCGCCCTGTGAACGGCGCCTCTTCATGTGCCTGCGGGGTGGATAGGCCGGCTCGGCTTCACGGCGGTGGACAACCGCATCTGCGTCGCCCTCTCCCGCGCGCGGCTCGGCTTCTACTGCGCCTGCAACCTCGAGATGCTCACCGCAGGCTCGGCTTCCCTCTCCCGAGCTGTGGCGCCCTCTCCCGCAAGCTCCGAACGGTTCGCCCTCTCCCGCAGGCTCGGAGCTGTGGCGGCAGGTCGCGCGGCACGTGGCCGACGCCGGCGTCTCCGGTGCCCGCCCTCCCGCTCGCTGCCGGCCTTGCGAACAGGCGCCGCCCACAGATCTCTGCCGCGAACAGGCGCCGGCCTCCCGCTCGCCCTCGGCGACGTGTCCGCCATGCCGCCTCCTTCGCGGCTGGGCTCGGTCGAGTCGTCCGCCGCCGACGTCGCGCCGGAGCGGCTCGCGAGCGGCTCGGAGAGGATGCTGGCCGCGCCGACCCTCGGGCGCGGCGGCACGGGCGGGGCCGGCGAGTGGCGCGGCGCGTGGCGGCAGACGCTGCAGCAGCTGGCCTCGCTCGCGTCGCGCTCGAGCCGCGCCGGCGCGGCGGCCGCGGAGCGCGAGCGGTGGCAGCCGCTCCGCGACGCGATCGAGGCTGCGCGCGGGCTGGAGAGCGTGCTCGAGGAGGCGGCCTGAGGAGGGCGCAGCTCGGCGTCCGCCACGCGCGCAGTGCCTACTCACCGCGCTTGCACGGAACAGGCGGCCAAGGGGCCTCAGCTCGGCGTCGCCGGCGTGGCGGGCGCGGGGAGCGACACCGCGCCGAGCCCAACCACCGCCCGCATCCCAGGCTCGCGCGACCAGCTAGCGTATTAGACCATCGACTCGATTCGCGCCGAGCCCAGCTGCCCGCGTCCCCAGGCTCGCTCGGAGGCGCCGCCCCAGGCCGGGAGGCGGCTGCGGCGATCCCCTACGTGACGCAGATCGCGCGGGCGCAGAACTACGCGCAGGCGACCGAGCCGATGCGCGTCCCCGCCGACTATTGGGGCGGCGGCGGCGGCGGCGGCGGCGGCGGCGGCGGTGGCGGCGGTGACAGCGGCGGCGGAGCGGGTCCATCGGTGCGGTCGCACACACCGCCTCCAGAGGAGGGGCAGTCGGCGGGCGGGGCCGAGGCCGCTGCCCTGGAGGAGGAGGTTGAGCTGCCTTTGCCTCCCGGCTGGCGCAAGGCAATGAGCCGCACGCACGGGAGGGAGTACCTCTACAACGAGTCCACCGGCCGCCGCGTCTGGCGCGTCCAGTCGATCGACGCCGCCGATTTCAGGCCCCAGGACTGAGGCCAGAACAGGGCGGAGGAATCCGGGCGAGCAGAGAGAGGTGGAGAATGGAGAGTGCGACCAGGGGGCGGCAGTCTTGTGTGACACGGCGCACTGGACAGAGCAGAGAGAGAGAGAGGCGGTCTCTTCTCGCAGCTGCGAGACATGCTCCCCTGTCAACGTGGGCCCAGCAGGCGTTTGACCAAAATCAAAATTTCCCTACTAAGAAAGAAAGAACGAACAGACACGAACCCAAGGGAGGGATGGAAGGACGGTACGCCGCCGCCACACAGGGATTTTAGGGGAGAAGTGTGTGTGAGTGTGTGTGATGGACTACGAGGAGTGGGGGTCAATCGGGAGGCAGGGGGTTCAACCAGGCGACGGAGGACCGTGGGCCATGTCGCGGGGACGGCCCGCCGGAGGCGGGCTCGATTGATCCGGATGGTCTCACGCCGGTGGGAGGCACCGAGGCGTCTTGGACGCTCAGCTCTACCTTAGCTCCTGAGGGGCGCGTGGTTCTAACCACGTAGTATGACTACAACCCACCACAGACACCCTCCCTCTCCACACGTGTGCACACACCCTCACCCTCTCCCCTCTCCTGTCTCCTCTCTCTCTCTCTCTCCTCTCCTCTCCTTGTCTGTGCTGTCTGCCTGACTCAGGCACTAATTCTGCCGATGCGTGATTGTGTATGGGCTGCTCCGAGGGGGCCCTGTGCAATCCGACGGGTAGGGGGTCTGTGCCCGGGCGGTGTCCGGTGTGGAGTCCCCTTCTGATCCCGCCTGGGATGTTGGGTGTGAGGTTGTGGCGGCTTCGATCCCAAGGGGGGGAGCTGATCCCACTCAATAACCAACTCTCAGGGGCAGTAGGTGGGCGAGCTTCAGGCACGCTCATCTCGATCGTCAAGGCGTCGCTACGCGCGGTCTTCCGCGGGGGGAGCTGCGTCGACGGGTGCGGGACCGCGGCGCAGCCAGTGCCGCGGCGAGGCCTCCGGCTGTTTGCGGCGGGCGGCTTGCTGCTCGCTGCATGGCGAAAAACTCGTCTCGCCACACGCCAAGGGCTTATGCTCTGGCGAGACGTGAGGCGCATGCGCCCAGGAGGGGAGGGGGCATGTGTAACGACGCTGCTAGAGATGCCTTTCGGGGCCCAGAGATAAAACTTCTGTGATGCCATGCGTGACCTAGTAGTGTCCCCAGCTATGGGCGTGTCCACGTTGGAGCCAGGTGTGGTGTGGGCGCGAGAATAGCTCCGCCGTTCATGGAGGCAACCGATGCGAGTCGACTGGTGTGTGTCGTCGTGGTTTCGTATCAAGAATACTCACTCACACTCACACAGGGGAGAAGTGTGGTGTTAGCCGTCGCCCACCCTCGGGCTTCTACCACTTCCTATCTCTCTCCGCAGTTTCTCACCAATTCTCGCAGCGACCTTCATGCCACCTCGCGTTCTTCCCACTCGTCGTTCTAGTTGAGGCTTGCCGCACGCGTTTCTTCATCCCGCCAGTCTCCGCTTTGGCGCACACAGTCAGAGAATACTGACAAATAGCGATGCGCTGTGAATACATTGGGATATACTGGGGTATATTGCACCCCTGGAATATACTCCCATATTGCGCACTATTGCGCAATATACGGAGATATTGGAGGAACATCTTCCAGCCGAATACTGGGATATATTGGAGTATATCTCGGCGCCGCCAAGCACCTCAATCCTTCCGCAATATATTGCAATATACAGCAGTATATCCCAATATATTCACAGCTTCGGTGGACGTGTCCTGGCACGCGATGCTGCCCCTCCTCACCACGACATGCACCGCCTTCCACGCTCCCGCGACCGCCGTTCACGCTGGCTCCTGCGTGCCGCCGGCACGCCACGCTGCCGCCATCTGCTCCTCCACCGGGAGCGCAGGCCCGCTCATCCGCTCCGCGTTCCTATCCCTCATCGCCGGCCAGTCCGCCTTCGCCCTCGCCGCCGAGGTGCCGAGCCTGTTTTCGTCCTCGCCGGACATCTTCGGCACCCTCTTCGACGCTGGCTTCCTCTTCTACAGCGGCCGACTCCTCGCGGGCCAGGCCGGCCTCGTCGGAGGCGATGAGGCGCTCGCTGAGAAGCTGGCCGGCCTCGACTGCACCTGCACGCTCAGCATCGGCCGCGAGCCCGGAACGTGGATGCCCAAAGAGTGGGGCTCGTCCGGCGCCCGCCTCTCGCTCCCGCTCCAACTCCGCTTCTCGGAGGAGGTTCCGCGGACGCTTCCGAGATACAGGCCTCCGAACTCCCGTCCACAACCCGTCCACCGCCCCTCAGACGGCGGACCTCGGCTTCCCGGGCGAGGAGAGCATGACGGGGCGCACCGCGCGGCAGCTCTGCTGCCCCGGCGGCGGCTCCTTTGTCGGGCAGGCAGGCACCGTCCGGGTGGAGCCTACGGGCGGCGCGTGGAGCGTCAAGCCGACCCGGCAGCCTGGCGTCGGCGAGCCGCGCCTCCTCGAAGCATCTCGGCGAGCCTCTGGCCACCCTGCGGCCTGTGCCCCCCAGGCGAGCTGCGCTTCTTCCTCGACTTCCCGACCGAGGCGGCGCGCAACGACGTGACGCTGCCCGCGGGGCGCGCCCTCGCAGCGCCCGCACCCTCCACGGGCCTGAGGCCTGAGCCTTGGGGCCCCTCTCTGCAGGCGGGTCTTCTTCAGCGGGACGTGCGTCGACCCCGAGCTGGCGCAGGCGCTTGGCCCGACGCCCGGAGATGTGTTCGTGGCGCCGGGCAGCGGCGTGCGCCTCTTTGGCGAAGGCGGCGTCACCACAAAGCGGACTGACGCGCGCAACCTGTACGGCGCGCTCGGCGAGACCTTCCTCATCCTCGGCCGCTTCTCGCTCGGCCCGCCGCCGCCGCCACAGGCGTCCGAGGACGAGACGCCGCAGCAGCGCGCCGCGCGGGAGCGCGCCGAGGACGAGGCGCGCGGGCGGGCGGTATGACCGGGCGGTACGACGCGGATTGGAGAAAGCGGATAGAAAACAAGAACACAACGCACTCCTCTCTCTCACATGACAAGCGATCCAACGACATTGTGGATTGGAAAGAAAGAAAAACTGCATGCTGGAGCACTTGGAGTGCAGTCGGTAACCTCACATCCAGGGCCGGGGAGCTAAGGAGCGCACCCAGCGGGCCGTATGCGCTGATCCGAATTCTTTTTCTCGTGTGCGCTGGTTTGGCTGGTGGGGCTGTGGAAGGCACCCGCGCATTGCACGTGTGCAGTTCTCTCGCATGGCCGAATACGCAAAGATGATGCCCGCACAGGCAAAAGCGTCGGGTGTCGAGATCAGCGTCGGCGCACCTGCTCTCGTGCTGTTGACGGCGCAGGCCGCCGGCAGTCTACGCGTCGCCTGCTGGAAGCAGTGCGGCCTCAGTGCAAAGCAGCTGCGAGTGACGCGCGTGCTCGTGGACGCTGTCGAGGTGGTTTGTGTCGCGGGTCACGGATGCGCTCCAGTGACGGTCAAGGTCTCCTTCACGCACGGCCAGACCATCAGAGACGCCGGCGCGATGCCAGTGGTGCCCGAGCTGCTGCCGCCAGCCGTCCCCGACGCTGCAGTTTGCCGCATGCTGCTGCTGCAGCCGTTGGCTTTGCTCGCGATGGGCGGCATGGCCTTGCTTGGCGGCTCCATCGCCTTTGAGACTGCCGCCACCGACGCCTGGCTCTTTCTCCTTGGCGGCCGCGGCTCGATATGGCCGCGCGTTGTCTTTGCCGCCGCCGTCCTTGCGCACGCGGCCGAGGCACAGTGTAGCCGAGATCTGTGCTGCAGTGTAGCCTACACAGAGCCGGGTGCGGAGTATCGCCGTGGACGCCGACGCTCTGAGGTGGCATCAATAGGCGGGCGTTGCTCTGCGCATCGCCCTCGGCCTCCCGAACGTCGGCCTCGGTGGCGCGCTGTGGTGGTGCGGCCTCACCTTCCTGGTCGGATTTCCCGTCCTGCGCCATTGCCTGGCGTTGCGCGGTAAGGGGGAGTGAACTACGCGGGCTGCATCTCTGGACTCTCTGCGCATGTGCTGCGCATTTCGATTATCAGACAGTAACCACAACCACAGATTATCAGACATCACTCATGATCACTGGCCATTTCCTCTCGTTGTGTATCGATTTCCTCTTTTTCACCTTGACAAGTTTGGAAATCACATATGACAAACACAGAATACAGTAAATTGTTACACCAACACGGCCGGTAAGGATGCTCCGCCGGCACGAATCTCGCCTTCAAACGCGCGCAGCGCCTCGAGAAAAGCTGAGTTGGGCTCGACGAGCGGGCGCGCCTGCTCGCATACATGTACGCCTTCATGGCACTGCGATCGAGGTGTCAGACATGCAGGCTCATCTGTTGCACCCGCTGCACGCGCGTGAGAGCCTCCTCCACGGGCAAGTTGAGCCTGGCAGTGAACGCCGCGCGTGTTAGTGCTGTGCCAGAAACTCGGTGAGCCGTGTGCGGATTAGCAGAGCGAGGACCGTCGCATCACGTATGCGACCGCCATCGTGCCAGAGCGTGACTTGCCCTGCGCGCAGTTAACGAGGACCATCTGGCCCGCCTGTCAACAGCTTTAGGCTTGAAGCGCCTTCGCTGCATGCCGCTGGACGAACACCGCCTTCCCGCCCGCCCGAACGCGATCGGACGCCCACGCGAGGCCACGCTCGAGGTCCTCAAGCGGGATGCGGAAGGCCTCGGAGTCCTCCCACTCTAGGTCAAGTAGTCTGGGAGGACTTTCGAGCCGCAGCCTGCAAAAGGAGACCAAACTGACACTGAGGAGTGCAGCAGATGAGCGGTCAAGGGATGCAGCGTGCGTGGTGTGCCTGTCAAATGCAGCGCGCGTCGCAGGCAGGAAGGCGTGCAGCCGGTACCCTGCACAGTTGAGAACGGCGTTCGTTGCATGCTCCTCCCTGCAGACGGCGAGTGCAGCCTTGTAGCTGCCAACCGCCAACTCTCCCGGCAGAACGACCGAGGACTTGCCGTCATCCTGCGGTCATGCGAAGAAAGCCCGCAGCATGGTGGGCCAAACGAGGTAACACGAAGGTGTCACGGGACGAGCATGCAAGGAGGTCATTGGGGTGCCACGAGAGCTCTAAATGGGCTGCCTGAGCGTTGAGCACTGCCAGCAGTTGCTCGTCTGTCACCTCCTCACGCGAATGCCTGCGTATATCGAGCCCACACCCAGCACAGCGATTGGCGGTCGCCTTGGCGAGGGGGACGCGTAGGCAAAAGGGATGGCCCTGCGGCGTGGATGAGAAGGTTGCCGCCGAGGCTTGGGACATGGTGTTCTTATGTTTTTTACCGAGGACCGCGCGCGCGCACCAGGGAAATTTACTAGCGAAAGAATTTTCAGTGTATGTAGCTCTTACGAACATACCCGTAGGTGAACTGCTGATTTTACAACAAAACTCTTTCGCACAACACTGGGCACGGGACTGGCGCGCACTGGCACTAACACAGGTACACCTGCTAGAAATGTGGCTGGACTGTTTGCATCACCGGGCTGCAGCGCACACTGCTCGCACCGCCAGTCATTACGTCATTCAAACACCGCGATCAATCACCGCTCATGAAGGCCATCCATCCTAGATGCGGAGATCACTGCTGCATCATTGTATCGCTCATGTGAGGCCTCCGGGTGCTCTAGCGCGCGATGCCGTCTGTCAGCCCTTGGCAGCCTGGGGACTGCTCTTCGCCGAGCAGCACCCCGCCCCAGCGAAAGCAGGTGCATGTGGCTGTAGCTGTTTGCATCACCGGGCTGCAGCGCACACTGCTCGCACCGCCAGTCATTACGTCATTCAAACACCGCGTCCAATCACCGCTCATGAAGGCTGGCCATCCTAGATGCGAGATCACTGCTGCATCATTGTATCGCTCATGTGAGGCCTCGGGTGCTCTACAAGACGCCTCCCTCTTGCCGTCATCGGAATAGGCGGCCGAAGCTTTCATCGTGCTCTCTGACGTTCGGCCGGCAATGGACACCGTGCCCCTGCGCCGCCAGATAGCCGCAGCCTACTCGCCGAGGCGGCTTCTACTGCTCCCGCCAGTGGAGTTTCGTATGCCTTGCCGGCTTGCGAATGTGCGCAACAGGTTTGGCAGAGAGCACCCAGTGCAGGCGGGGAACGCGCTCTTCCAATACACCGGCATCCAAGCGTGCTTTAGCATGGTGGAGGAGGAGGAGCGGCGCCCCAGAAATTGAATCTTCAGCATAGCCCTGTCTCATCCGGCGTGTCTCATCATGTAGGAGCGGGAGCGTGCCGCGCTATATAGCTGGGTCGTCCGATTGCGGACAGATCTGGTGCTCTTCCAGAACCTTGTGCGATGGCAACCAGCCGAGAGGGAGCGAGATGGAGTGAGGCGTGCGTTACGGAGACTTGTGTGCGCTCGCAGGTAATCCCTCGGGACCGGCGCTTTGTCTACGTTCCAGCTGGCGGCAGTGCGCCCCGCTGTAGCATCCCGTGCCTCCTAGGCCCCGAGGCGTGTGCGCCCGATTTCCCTCGCCCTTGCTGCCGTGACAGTGAGTTATCGCAGCGGGCTGCGCTGCTGCAACGATCATATGTTTGTTTGTCCACGGGAGCTTTGTTCGCCGTACGCGTCGCTGCTCGACAACTTCCGCGATGCGCGCTGCAGGGCGCCACCCGGCTACTCGAGCGGCGGCGATGGCGTCAAGCTGGATGGGACGCTGCGGGAGGCTCCAGACCTCACTTGGACGTCCTGGTACCTCTCCAGGGCGTACAATGGTCATCGATCCACTGATACGCTGCGCCACGAGCGCTGCGCCCTGTCCAGCCCTTGATATGTGAATAGCGTCCGGCTGGGCCCAGTGCGGCCGGATGCGCGAGCTCGGCTTGCTCTACTCGATTGCCCGCGGCGCCTGAAGGCCCCATCACATCATCTGCTGCTACCACCCTCTGATCTCACCGGTTTTGCTAACAGGCTCCTCCTCTCTGGGCTATCTCATCTGCCAGTACACCCTTTCGCATGGTTGGAACCCGGGCGCTCTCGTGCAGTTCGGGCTGGTCAACGCGAGCGAGCGTGCATGCGCTCTGGAGCGGTGAGGCGGAGAGAACAGATGTAGGCGGAATACACGTTCCGAGGCCAGATGTAGCGGAGGCTATAGCACAAGCCCAGCGATGAGCCTCCCGACCTAGGTGTGCGGAGCTGAGCGACCGGCTGAGCGGCGGCAGCGGGGGAGCGGCCAACCGCACCGAGCAGCGCAGGCGGGAGATGGCGCTCCGCTCCCAGTTTTCTGCGAGGTGGCAGCCCTGAGCACTGCCCTCCTTGAGGTTTTTCTTAGTGGCTCTGAAGAACGAAAACGGAGAGAAGGGAGAGAAAAAAACGGCCCGCTCCAATTAGGGATGGGAGAAGGACAGTGTCCCTACCTGCCCCCCTCCAACCAACTCTCTTTTCGTTGTATGTGTTTTCTGCCGGCCCACGCCAAGCAACCACACGCGACACGCGAGACGCATACTAGTTATAGAGTCGTAGGCAGCTGAATCCGAAAGAAATTCTTTTGCAGTCGCTCGCCCGGGCGCTGGCGGCTCCTGTGGAGTACCAGGTACCTGACGTGTATATGTGGCACACCCTGGTCGCCAGCGCCACCGCGTACGCGCCGGCGACGCACACTGGCAATTTCCGCGCCTGGCCGCGCTGCGCAGGCCCGCTCTGCGACGGCGGCGTCGGTCTGCAGACGGCGTCGAGCCTCGGCGAGTCGTCGAGTCCTGCGGCAGTGGAGTATGGCGGCATCACCCACGTGGCGGTACTCGTCGGTGATGCAGCCGCGGCGAGGAGATTCTACACGGGCGTACTCGGCATGGCGGTCGATTCCGAGTCGTGCGAAGCTCTCGGCGCGCGTGGCGCGAGCGCAGCGTGCGTGCGCGTGGGCGAGCAGACGATCCAGCTGCTGGAGCTGCCCAACCCGGACCCGACGGATGTGGACCCGGAGTACAGTATGAGCGCGCCTCCTCAAGGCTACGTGGCCGAGGGCAGGCCCGTCCACGCCGGACGAGACCGCCACGTCGCCATCACGCTGCACGACCTCGCGCCGCTCAAGGCGTCGCTCGAGGCGAACGAGGTGCCATACACGATGAGCTACTCGGGCCGACAGGCGCTCTTCACGCGCGACGCGTACGGCAACGGCTGGGAGTTTGGGCCGCCCGTGACGTACCGCGGCGCGACGCGCCTCTTCCCGCCCTACCTCGTTCCGCCGCAGCCAGCGCCGGGGGAGGCCGTGGGCTGGGGAGGCATCCCGCATGTCGGGCTTCTGGTCGCGGACACGCCTCGCGCGAAGGCATTCTACTGCGACGTGCTCGGCATGCGTGACGAGACCGACTTGCGGCCCGTCAAGCTGCCCTTCGCCGGTCTCTTCCTCCGCTGCGGCGAGTCGCAGGCCCAAGCTCCCGCCCAAGCTCCCGCCCAACCGCCCACCTCTCCAAACAAAACTCCCGGTCTCTCTCGCAATGGGTCCAATGAAGCCTCAGCACCTCCCCAGCACCACCTCACCCGTGTCTTCCAGCAGCTCCTCCCCCCAATCTCCAACGTCTCTCCCGCCTAACGACCCCCCACAGGTGCACATCCTCCAGCTTCCAAACCCCGACCCGAACACCGCGGTGGCGCGGCCAGCCTTGGGAGAGGACCGGCGCACCGCGTACTCGGTCAGGTCGCTGGCGCCGGTGAAGGCCGCCCTCGACAGCGAGATGTGCAGGCACCTCTTCGGGTGCAAGTGGGCGTACGAGGAGCGCGCCACCGGCGCCGGCGAGGCGGCGGTCGCTTCTGCGAGGCACTCGCTGTGGGGGGCGCCGACTCACGCGTCCGGGCGTGATCGCAGGCGGCGCTCCTCTGCAAGGACCCGGACGCCAACGAGCTGATGTTCGTCGAGGACGCGTCAATCACCCCCATCGCAGAGGCCGAGGGCGGCCCCGTCACGCCATGGACCAGGCTGTGGTGAGCCGGTCTCGCTTACGTCAGTACGCGGCTATCTCTGTATAACCCGGGACACACACACTCGCGGACGCTTTTTACGGACCTGGAAAATGGCTTCGTTCTCTCTCTCTTCAAACACACACACCTGACTATATGTGAGACTAGTGCCCCTCTTCTGCCTTCTGGGATCCTCGGTTTTAAGCCAGAGGAGCCAGGAGACCATGAGGCCCGGTCTCTCTGGGCGCGCCGCCCCCCTCGCCTGCAACTGACAAGTCGACAGCGCGGCCCCGGTCAGACTCAGCGCTGAGGCAGAGTTGCGTCGGCAAAGAGCGAACATGAGGTTTTGGGCCGCTCTGTCGAGCTAGTCCACGCTCTCCACCTCCTCCTCCTCCTCGCCCTCTCCCGCCGGCCTCCTCGCCGAAGCGCCGATGCTCTGCCCGTTGAGCGCCTCGATCATCTCGCGGAAGGGGGCGGGCAGATCCTCGAGCTGCGCCTGCTCACAGCTCGAGGCGTGAAGCGACGCGGTCTGGCACCAACGCCAACCGGTACCGCCAGCCGCGCCGTGACATCCCCCCCCTGCCCCACCAGGACGCGGACCTGCGTCAAGGCCCAGAGGGGGGGTTAGAGAGGCCCAGAGACGGGCCAGAGACTCGCCAGGACGGGCCGCACACCTCCACCTCCTGCCCCTCGCCGCCGCCCGCCCCCCCGAGCAGCTGCTCGATCATCGCGCCTACCGTCGGCACATCTCGGCTCAGTCTCCCCCCTCCCCACTCCCACGGCACCCAGCGCCGCGCGCCCATCCGTTCGGCGTTCATCTCGACCGCCTGTGCAACGGTCGGGCGGAGTGAAGAGACGCTGCTCACCACACACACCCTCCGACATCGCCGCGCGCCTCCCCGCCTTGCCCCTGCATGATGTCGATCGTCAGGGGCTTCTCGAGCCAGGATGGCTCGCCGCCGCCGCCGCCGCCGCCTCCGCCGCCCTCCGCCGCGCCTCCCCGCCTGGCGAGAGCCTCACGCGCCAGCCTGCGGCAATCGCGTCGCGCGCTGCAATCGTGGCCGTGTCTCGGCTGCGTCTCGGCTGCGTCTCGGCTGCGTCTCGGCTGCGTCTCGGCTGCGTCTCGGCTGCGTCTCGGCTGCGTCTCGGCTGCATCTCGGCTGCACCTCCGCGCATACGCGTCCACGCCTTCCCCGGACTGCTCGGCGCCCTCCTCGTCTTGCTCGTCCTCCTCCTCGTCCTCGTCCTCCTCGCCCTCCTCCTCCGCCTCCTCCCCGCCAAGCAGCCGGCTCGCCTGCAAGACGTGTCGTGGACGTGTCGTGGACGTGTCGTGGACGTGTCGTGGACGTGTCGTGGACGTGTCGTGGACGTGTCGTGGACGTGTCGTGGACGTGTCGTGGACGTGTCGTGGACGTGTCGTGGACGTGTCGTGGACGTGTCGTGGACGTGTCGTGGACGTGTCATGGACGTGTCGTGGACGTGTCATGGACGTGTCGTGACCGTGTCATACCTCATCTCTCATGCCTCTGACACATCTCTGGAATCTCTTGCCACATCTCTGCCACACCTCGCCCAGCGCCCGGTCGAGTCTCCGCCGCAACGACTTCAGCCTCCGCGCCGCCGCCGCCGCCTCCGCCTCCTCCTCCGCCTCCGCCTCCCGCCTCGCGGGCTCGCCCCTCGCCTGCGCGACGGCGTGAGACCGTCTGTCAGACAGCTCGCGCCAAGAGGGCGCCTCAGGGGAGGGCTTGCCTTGCGAGCCCGCCACGCCGCCTCGACGCGGGCCAGCCGCCGCTTGAGCGAGCCGTGCAGCAGCTCGAGCCCCGCCGTGTCCTGCTCACACGCCGCGCGTCCGTGAAGAGACGCCCTTCACAGCGCCAGCTCGAGGATTGCTGCTGTTCCACCAAATGGTCGATGAACGCGTCGTCGTCACCGCGCTCCTCCGGCGCGTCTCTCGGCTCCGCACCGCGGCCGAGCGTCGCGCGCACCTTCGCCAGCGCCTCCTCGACAGAGCTGCCCGGCGCTATCTGCGGCAGCGCCGCCGGCTTCTCGAGGCGCTGGCGCCTCCTGCTCTCTATGTCGCGCCGCCGCCGCTCGGTCTCGGCCTCCGACGGCGCCCACGAAGGAAGCTCGCCGCGCTTGGCGTCCTTGCCCACGCCTGCGCCCGCCGGCTTGTTCGCAGCCGCCCGCCGGCCGCCGCCCTCGTGCGCCCGCTTCAGCGACTCGAAGAGGTCGATCAGGTTCGCCTCGAACGACTTGCCCACCGGCGGCGCCTGGTGTTCACACTCAAGGTGTGACGACACGGCCCCACCGCCGAAGACCTGCCCGCAGGCGGCGCTGGGTCGCGGTCGCGTCACGATCTGGGCCGAGGCGTGGCCAGGCGAGAGGAGGGAGGCGGCGGAGGAGGAGAGAGATGGAGGGGCGGCGCCTGCCCGGGCTGCCCGGGCTGCCCGGCCTCCTTCCGCTTCTTCTCTGCAAACACTTTCCGCCAGTGCTCTGCCTAAACGAATAGGCATGCAGCTTTTGCAGGATGGGACCGCACTCTCCTGAGCCCCGCCAGTGCTCTGCCTCGGGCTCGACAAAGTCGAACTGCTGCCCGTCCTGCGGCGAGGCAGGCGAGGTGGAAGGAGGAGGCGTGCGGCGGGCGCGTGGCGGTGCGCGCGAGCGGTGCGGTGAGGCGCGAGGGTTGTGCAGGCGTGGAGCGGGCGGTGGTCGACCGAATGCGTGGCACGGCGCGAGCGCGAGAGCGCACTCTCCTCGACCTCGGGCTCGACGAAGGCGGGCTCCTCGGCGGGTGGAGGCTCCTGCGCATCATTTATCGAGAGGGCGAGGAGCAAGCAGACGCAGGCAAGAGGTGGAGCGCGGGGCGCCATACGAGTACACCAGTGTGACTGTGTGTTCGCGGACCAGGTTCGTTGTGAAGAGCTGGGGGGCGCCACCCAAGAACCTCACAATGCGGATCGGCAAAGGCGCGACGCGTCGATTGACGATCTATGCTTTTGACCCATCAGTCTCCCAACATGACATGTGCATGCACATGCACATGTCCATGTGCATGTCCATGTGTGACATGAGAGATGAGTTAGTCAAAGAAATTACTTCAGTCTTCACGGCGGTCCGTCCGCACGTGAGCCCCGCGGCGGCGCGGCGGATCTCCCGCAACGCCTGTCCACACTCCTCGGGAGCACACACACGGACATGAAGCGCGCACGCGGCCCAATGGCCGTGCACGAGCAGCAGCGCAAGCGCCGCCAACCGCACCGACACTTTTGACCGCGTGCCGCACTTCCCGAATCCCTTCACACCCCACTGTCGCGCAATGTGCCGGCTGGTGTGCGGCTTCTGCCACGCCCACTCGAAAGCGAGTGCATCACTCTTCGAGGAGAAGCCGCGCACAACGAGAAGAATGCGCCACGGCCGTCCCGCGGCGGGCGCGCCACCTCCCGAGAGCTCGCCGTTGTGCTGGCGCAGTCGTCTGGACGGGGTCGGGGCTCGCACCGACGTAAGTCCTCCGACCGCTCGAGTCTCGCAGGAAGTAGACGCGCCACGCCGAATCCTCCTCCTCCTCCTCCTCCTCCTCAGCCTCGTCGTCGACGAGCGCGTTGCCGTCTCGCTCGTCCTCCTCGTCGCTGTCTCCGTCCTCCGCGTCGAGATCCACCTCGGTGACCGCCGCGCCGAGCGTGCGGAGGAAGTCGGCGAGGGTGCCAGTCGAGGCGGTTTGGGAGGCGATGGGAACCACCCAGGCTGTCTTGGTGATGCTCTTCGGGCCGTGCGGGCCGGGGAAGAGGAGGTCCTCGTAGTCGACGTTGGGGAACTGGTTCTTGACGTAGTCCTTGACGTCAAAGGCCTCCCATGTGGCATCCATCTCGGACAGCTCACGAGCCCATTCACGGTACACCCTCGCGGTCCGGAAGAGATTTCGAGTCGGCTGAGTCAGCCCGGTGAAGTCTCCAGCCTCATCTGACCGATTGATACGCTCTCGACCCGCGAGGCCATGTGCGTGTGCCCACGCGAGGTGCGGGTCGCCTGCCAGGGAGCGAGGGACGGGCTGAGCATGTGCGACCGGGTCAGGGTGATTGCTGTGACGGGACGCGCCCGCATCTGAACTGCTGCTCAATGAGAGCCAGCAATGCGGGCGCCACGCTCAATGAGCCTGTGCGGTCAACGCTCCAACGCCCGAGCGTGGTGTGACACAAATGAGAGGCGGGAGTGGGGGGGTCCGCGGTGCGGTCAACGCCCGAGCGTTGAGCCTCCGGGCAAGGCGGTTGATCTTTGCAACTGCAGGCGGCGAGAAGCCGCCGCCTAATGTCTCGTGAAGAAGCAGGTTGAACTTGTTTCGTTGGTCAAGATCCCATCATGGTAGTGGCCACGCTGTGACTTGACGTAGCCTTGGCCGGTGGTGTGGAGGTCGAACGCCCGTTGACCACGGAACCCGCGTTGCTTGCAGCCCATGTTTGCAACGCGGGCGCGCTCTTCGGTGTTGCCGAAGGCGAACTTGTCCCCAACGGAGCCGGGGTTGCCTCCCGGTGTCGGTGCGGCCGACCCCAACGGGCACGCCACCCCGGAGGGGGGTCCAAAGTTTGACCTCGCTGACCGCTTCGTCTTTGCCCCCGGCTCAGCCAGGTCGGTCTTGTAGCCCTCGTTGAACTGTTTGGTGAGTTCTGGTTTTTCGGCATCTCCCATTGGTGTTAACTTTCGCTCGCCGCGGAGTCGTTCTTGCGCGCGTCGTCAGGCTTTGCCCCGTCAGGAGGAAGCGCGTGTGTTATCATTTGGCTTGTGGCAAGTGCTTGTGGGAGGCTCGAGGCGCGCGCGGGAGATTTTCCTTTATGGGACCCCGGTTTTGCAACAAAAACGAGGCGAAAAACGAAAACAGGACATGCTCTCTCTCGCGCGCGCGCGCGTCGTACGTCGCAAAGTCGCCGTAGGGTCAGAGAAATTGACGTGATATCAACAAGGCGAGGCGACCGACTGCCGACGTTTCAAAGAGACGCCCGCGTGTCGTGCTGCGACGACCGCATCTGGTAATGTGAAGACCGTCGGGAGCAGGACGCCGCCGACGCTCGGTTCGATCCGCAAGCCACTGCGACGGCGTCTTGGTCGGCAAGGGAGGGCTTCTCCCTGGCGCGCGCCGCCTGGGCGTCGCTGCGCGCAGCGCGGCACCGCGAGACGAGCAGGCTCACCAATGCAAAGGTGGCGCACCCGCCCAGGAAGCTGAGGACTATCGCCACCGGCAGCACCCACGCCGGTTGGACGTCGAGAATCAAAGGGACTGACTCGGTGCGCGTCGCCATGTCAAAAAGATAGTTGTCGTTTGCGCCTGCGATCGCGCCATGGGGTGAGTCAGAGGGACCTGGGGGGGCTCTGGTAGCGGCGTGCCGCGACTGAAGCGACGTAGCGTCTCTCTAGTGTGGAAGTGTCTTAGTGCACCGCAGCGCGCGTATGAGTAGGACAGGTTCGCGTTCACAACAAACCCGCTCGGTGAGTGCGCAACATTGCATCCGTCCTCGACATAGCACCACTCGTCGGAACACCTGAGAGCGAGGTGCGCCATGAGGGCTCCTCTGACCGCTCCGCTGAGAGTGCGGAAAAGCTAGTAACGCACCACTGCGGGGGCTCGTCCGCAGCGCAGGACAGGGACAAGCCTATGCAAAGAACAGGATCCAGGTGCGACGTACTACATTCTGCTTGCATCTCAAGTGGGGGTGAGCAGCAGGGCAGGGAGGCCGTTCAGGCGCGCGCTGCTAGTTTAGGCGAGCTAGTTTCGAACCCAGGTCGTGGCTCTTGCACTCCATGAGGCCATAGTCCGCGGGATAGTAAGCGGTCTCGCCGTTGACCCCGGTCACCTCCAGCAGGCCCTTATGGAGCGTGACCCCGGCAGGCCACTCGGTCAGGCATGGGCAATGGAGGTCCGAAAGCACTGGAGGCGGCGGCGGCGGCAGCGGTGAAGGTGGCTGGGAGGGAGGCGGCGGCGGGGACGGCGGCGCTGGGGATGGCGGTGGTGGAGGCGCTGGGGGCGGTGGATCGGGTAGGGGAGGAGGAGGAGGATCGTGAGTCCGCAAGGGGGGTGGCTTTGGCTCGAAGATTGGCGGGATAAGGCCGTCGTCGAAACCTGGAGGCCGTGGGTTTGGCGGCGGCGGCAGCGACGGGCCTTGGATCGGGCGAGGCCCTTGGTCGGAGCGCGGGTCGAGGGGCTCCACCGATGGACTAGCAGTGGCGGCAACGTGGAGAAGGACGATCATGTCTGAGCTCACTTTCCGAGCACGGGACGGACGATTTGTGGCGATATCGAGGAGATCACGTTTTCCGGCGACGTGGACGCGGCCGACGAGATCTGCAGGAGATCGGCGGCTTCTGGGAGCTCCTTCGAGTGAGGAACGATTTGCTTTATTGCTTTATTGCCTTATTGCTTTGAAACTTTAACACAAGCTGTGCCGCGTGCAGTAAACCAAAGTGAATTTATCGCACACGTCACATCCGACACACACGCCACGCGCAGAGCTACTTGAGCAATCATGCACAATCAATGCGCCGAAGAGAGCGAGACGCTGATTCTTTGCACCGGGTCAGCAGGCAGGCAGTGCAAGCTCAAGTGGTCGCAGCACTGGTCATTCGCGATGCGGTAGCGATGCGATCAACCGTCCGCAAGCAGCGGTGAAGCCTGGTCCATGGCCGGGCAGGCGCGCCGCAGGCGAAGCGCTCTCGCGGGGCCTTGCGTCGTCCCACCTCGAGCCCTCGGGAGTAGTCGGTCAGCTGGGCAAAGCTGCACATGTGGCCGCCGACGGCCCCATATAGCATGATAGTGCCGTCGACCTCCTGTTGTCCAGCACGGTAGCGGTTCACGCCGTCGACGAGTTGGAACTGTGTGGACCGCCACGGCGCCGGCTGTGGTGTGGGCGACGGTTCTGCGGGCGGCAGTGCTGTCGCCGTGCACTTGTGCCGGGACCGCTTCTTCTTCTTCTGACTATTGCCGTGGTCGCTGCTGTCGCTGCTCATGTGCAAGCCGCGAGGTGTGTAGCCAGCCAGATCCAGCTGCGCAACGCGAGCGGAGCGAGCGAAGCGCCAGGACGCCGTCCCTTTGTAACGCTTCACGCGCGTCGCTGAGGCGTGCTGTGAAGGGCTCGCGTGATCGCGAGCATCGCACAACATCGCCATTTATCGCATTTTATCGCCAAATATCGCGCGGTATCGCGGTTGCGATATTGTGAAAAATTCCCTCTAGGGCAGGGCTAGGCGCGGGACCCGTCTGTGGCGAAGTGGGTCGCGTCCCTGAATTCCCGTCAACTCACGGTCCTTCCCCTTCATTTTGCACACAGTCCACGGTTGTCTGTTCCACTACTCCACACCTACCAGGGTTTTAAACCTCCAACCAGTGCGGAGAAGTACAGAGCCTATGGTAACTGATGCGCATGCTGATGCGCGATCAAGCGTACCAGTACGCCCCCTCTACCTCGTTCCACGCATAGTCAATCAACCGCCTGTCCACGCCGTGGACGTACGCTTCAAGAAACGCGGACATTAGATCTCGGCCGCCCTTCTTCAAGAGGGCAGCGCCGAGCGCCACGCTCTGCTCCTTAAACTGTCCGAGGAACCCCTCATACGAGGACATGTGGGGAGAGACCTGCTCCGGCGAGTCGAGTATGTCGCGCACGATCTTGTGCTCGGCGGAGACGTCCATGTTGACCGAGCCCATGAGGCGAAAGCTGCTGGGGTTTGGCTCGGCCGCGCGTCTGGCAAGCTTCGCCGCCTCAGCTTTTGTGGCGGACGCATATTTATCGCGCCATGTCTGCGCCCCCTTCCACCTCCTTCCATCGCCACGTGTAGCAAGCGCCGTCCACCCATGGCCGAGGCGGTGGAAGCGTGCCCTCCACGTCTGCTCTGCTAGCCGGGAGAGCGAGCTTGAGCAGCACAGCAGCGCCGCGGCCGTCCCCGGCGGCGCGGTCTCGAGCATCTGCGCCACCAGCTCGTCCTCGAGCGTCTCAAACAGGGGCACCGTCCGCACGCGCAGATTGGCCGTCTTAACGCGTACCTCCTCGACAGCGCCGTCCACCCGGTACACGCGCACCGGCCAGCGGCCTGCCGGATTTTTATTACCAAGGATGCGGCCGGGGCAGCCGTTGAGGTCGCGCCGGGCGGCCAGGCCGTGCAACCCCACTTGGCGCTGCGGCTGGATGCCATCTTCGGCAATCTCCCGGTCGCTCATGGGAGGGAGTGCAAGCGACCGTGCTCAGCTTCGTGCTCAGCTTTCGTGCTCAGCTTCTTGCGGTCGTTTTTTGTTCCCACATTTTTTCTTTCTTTGCGCCATCCCAACTTTTGCGGTGTGGGGGGCTGGGGGGGGGGGGGGGGAGGGTCCTGACCACGGTCTGTCATACATGGACAATCATACCTAACCCCCGCAGTCGGAACACTGGGGGGTTGTTCACTCTCTGAGGCCTCAGACCCCCCGCCCCCCCCCCCCCCCTTCTGAGGACAGGTCGGACCCCAGGCTTGGCGGCACAGAGGGTTTGACTCTGACTCTGTGCCGCCTCTGTGGCCTCTCTTGGCTCATTTTGGCCTCAGAGGGTCCCTGGCCGATGGTCTGTCTTGGCGCGGCACAGAGGGCTTTTCTTTGACCTCAGAGGGTTGCCCCCTCACGGCAGAGGCGAGAGCCCCGGGCGGAGGCCGGAGCTGCCTAGCCCTCCACGAATGGCGCTGACCAGTGAGGGCGGGGAGGGGTGGTACTCGAGGGGTGGTAGTAAAACATATATGACTTTAAGCAGCGAGCATGACCAAGCTCCAAGGCGCTACGCTATGCTCGAGCGCCCGGCACCACACACGCTTACTGCTGCTGCAGGCTCACAGCGCCCGCGCCGAGCCCTGCGCGACAGCTTCGCGCGGCCCGCAGCGCCGACCCGTCAACTTGAGGATGTGCTTTTGGAGCGGCCGCCCGAGGAGGAGTAGTGATCTCCACGTCCTTCCCCTGCTCCAGCTTGGCCATGAGGCGCCACGGCGTCCGCGTGAACTCGAACTTGAGGTATCCGAAAAATGGAAACTGGGCTCTGGGGGGGTTCTCTCCTGCTTGGTGGGGGATCACGACAGACGAAAACCCCCTCTGTGCTCTGAGGAGCGGCTACGCGGGGCTTGCCTTGGCGTCTCAGAGGGTCCCCGTAGCCTCAGAGGCTGCGCCGAGAGAGGCTGGCTTGGCGGCACAGGCCTTCAGAGGGTCGGCCCAGGCACCCTCTGAGCCGCTCGTAGATGGCCTCTCTTGGCACAGAGGGTACCCTCTGAGACGAGCAGATCTGGGCCGCCTTGCCTCACCCCGCCCCCCTCTGAGACAAGGAGACAACCCCCTAGTGGCGATGCCACAAAAAAGAGAAATCGCGCATAGGACCCCACGCCCCCGCGATCGTGCCATCCGACTCGGCAGTCTTCCTCCTCGCCACCCTCGCAAAGGCGTGGGAGCCGCTGGCCGTGTCGCTGGCGAGCCCAGAGGGTAGAGGGCCACCATTCGCGGCGGTGCTGGTGTGCGCAGAGGCGGCCAAGCTCGCATTTGTCGCTCCGCTGCTCCCGCCCAACCGCATCGGCCTGTGCTCTCGTTCCACCGGCGCCGCCTTTGCGCCACCAGCGGCGCTCCTCGCGCTCTGCAACCACTGCCTCGGTTTCGCGGTGCCGCGGCTCGACCCGCTCACATACCAGGTGAGCAGAGCCGAGGCATTGTGGTGCCTGTCCAGGCGCTTTGACCTCACCCCGGCTGAGTTTTGGCTGAGCTGTCGGCTGGTCTCGCGTGCCAGGTGGTCTTCAAGGCGGTCTCGGTCGTGGTGGTCGCGCTCCTCTCTCGCTCGCTGCTGGGCAGACGCCTCACCCGCCTGCAGTGGGCGTCCCTCGGCGTGCGGCAGGTCGTGAGACGGGCGCACTGCGGACTGCCTCTCCTTGACCGCTGAGCGCGTGAGCAGGCCTGCTCCTCGTCGGAGCCCACCTCAGTCTCGCCCCTCCGGAGCCGGCGGGCGGAGACGCGCGCAGCAGCAGCGAGGAGAGCTGTGCCGAGTGGCCTCCCGCCTCCGCGAGCCGCGTCTCTTCACACGCGGGCGTGTGCGCAGCAGACGGGCCGCAGCGAGTATGCCGCCGGGCTCGCTGCGTGCGTGCTCGGCTCGCTCGCCCTCGCCCTCTCCTCGGTCATGTTCGAGGGCGCGAGCCACGCGGACAGCCGTGAAGCTGGTGGTGGCGGTGTCGTCGCGCACGCGGCTGCCTACGCGCTCTGGGGGCTTGTCGCAAACTCGGCGGCTCTACTTGGAATGCACTGGCGCTGGATCGGAGGGGGAGGCGGCGGCTTCGCGCTCTCCGCGCACTCGGCGGCCGAAAGACGCCGTTCACGGCCGTGCACTGTGAATAGGCTCGCGCCCCCGCGCCGTCGACGCCGCCGCCGCGCTGTCGATCGCCGCCGCCGACCTCACCATGGCGAGATGCAGCCGAGAGGTGGCCGATCTGGACAGCGCGTCTTCACGGCTGGCGGCCGTGCGCAGGCGGTCTTCTTCTCGAGGCTGAGCGCCAACGCGTACTCGTACTCGCGCGTGCTCGCGCTGCTCGTCTCGGCGATCATCGCCGCCGTGGCGCTCAGGCAGCCGCTGAGCGGCCGATTCCTCGCCGGCGCCGGCACCGTCGCGGCCAGCGGGTGGGTGTACCGCGAGCCGGAGCGCGCTGCCGCGGCGGCAGCCGCGCTCCTGAGCCGAGTCTCTCCAAGAAGAGCCAGAATAAGAAGGGGCGGGTGGGAGTTGGCCCCCGCCGATGAGGAGGGCAAGGCGGCGCTCTTGCATCCGCCTGGCGAGCTGAGCTATAGCCAGCGCCTCGAAACAGAGAGCGCATCGTGAACTCGAGAATTCTTGGGACCAAAAACCGTTTACTTCCGTTCCCGCCGTCTGCACATTGGCGTCTCCGCGGGCTGGGCGCCTAAAAGCCGCTGCGCATGGACGCGATCGTTGCTTTTCTCGCCGACAACCACCTCGAGGCGTACGCGGAAATCTTTGAGGAGACAGGCTACGACGACCTCGCGTTTCTCCGAGAGATGAGCGATGCGGATTTCGCCGAGCTCAAGCAGGCCTCTCTCGCTCAACCCTGACGCCACCACACACCCGTCTGCTCCTCTTTATCACCTCGCCGCCACTGCCGCCACCACAAATCTCCACCCAGGCGACGCGCATGAAGACGGGCCACCTCGCGAAGCTGCGCTCTCGCGCGCGCGGATTTCACCTGCCTCTTCCTCTGCCGCCGCCACCACAGCTACCTCCGCCACCGCCGCTGCAGCTGCCGCCGCCTCCACCGCCGCTCAAATGCGAGCCGGAGTGGACTCTGCTCGCTGAGCCGCAGGCGGGCCGCGCCCAGGCTCAGTCAGTGCCGTCAGAAGGCTTCTCGAGAACCTCCGCCCCTAGCTGCTCAGCCTCCGCCTCCGCCTCCGCCTCCGCCTCCGCCTCCGCCTCCGCCTCCGCCACCGCCTCCGCCTCCGCCACCGCCTCCGCCTCCGCCTCCGCCTCCGCCTCCGCCTCCTCCTCCTCCTCCTCCGCCGCCGCCGTCGGTGCTGGCGCCGGTGCCGGTGCCGCCAGCGTGGAGGGCGAGACGGAGGGCGACGAGGCGCCGCCGTGTGTGGCGGCCGGAGCGCTGTGAAGAGGCGCTGTTACACCACGCAGCGCGAGCAGGCGCCGTCGTGGTGGGGGGCCACGAGCGCAGCCACCTTCGCAGAGGCGCTGCTCCGGCGAGAGGCCCGGAGATGCCGCGAGGTGCGTCCGAGATGGACCGCCGGTGAGGGTGTAGGTTCTCTTCCTGCTCGGCGAGACGCCCGCTGCCTTCCCGGACCGGGTCTTCGCGTCGCTGCCGATGGAGCGGGCCTTCCCCGGGGCGAGTTGCTCAGCCGAGACCGGCCGAGATTACTCGGGAGTCTAGCCACGAGGAGGCCCGCTCAGTCGAAGGGTTTGAGACCGAGACTAAGCGAGGCTCCCAACCACCTGCGATTACCGAATGCCTCCGCCAACCTCGAGGTGAGCAAGCCGCAGCGGCTGCGCGCACTGGGCTACCTGCGGCGAGCAATAGTCGAGACCTAGCCGAGACGTAGCCGAGATGTGCCTTTGCGCGCCCTTCCCGGCGAGAGCTGCAGCGACGTGGAGCTGCTCACGCCGCGATGCTGTGCGCAGGCGGGCGTGCCGGCGGAGGGGGGGCGAGGTCGCCGTGCACTTCAAGAAGCTATCCAAGAGGCAGGTCCGAGACTCGGGCCGAGACTCGCCGAGATTCGCCCGAGGCGCACGAACGCTGCCGAAGCGTCTCTTCTCGTCGCCCGCCACAGGTCGCCGTTTGCCATGTGCCGGTGGACGAGGACCGCTCGCAGCGGCGGCGGCGGGCGAAGGAGCGCGGCAGGACGTGGGTGGACGGCGGGAGCGGCCACTCACTCCTCGGCGAGGCAGAGTGAGCCTCCCTCTCCAACCAAGGGTTCCGAGGCATCACAGCGAAGGGGCTGCCTCGTCCGAGCGGAGCGACCCGGCCGACGCCATCCGAGCCCCTAGGCACAAGGGAGAGGATATTTTTGTTTTCCCTTCTGGATAGTTGTTGAGACTGTTCTTCGCTGTTTGCTTCTTCGTCGGTCAAAAAAACACTCATCTTCTCCGGTGCGCTCAGCCCCCCCCGTGTGTGCCGACTGCCGTGTGCAACAGAGCGGTCCGGCAGGCTGCCCCCCCAAGGCCCCCCCACTTGGAGTGCAGTCATCAACGAACCTCACATCCCGAATCCAGGGCCGGGGAGCTGAGGAGCGCACCCAGCGGGCCGGATGATCGGTATCGGGTTACGGGCTAGAGAGCCCTAGCCCCGGGGGTGCGCGTTCGCACGGGGAAAGGGCCGTAAAATAAACACGGGTCTCCGAGGGTTGGCCCCGCGTACCGGGTTTCCCCTTAACTGCAGGACGCCCCCTCTACTCGGAGCTAATGAACACCACACTGCACGCCCCACACCACCACTCCGCACTCACTCGCACAGACCACTTGAGTAGACCCCCCCGCCTGGAGGGCTCACCCCCCGTCTTCCCAGGGTCCCGAGCCTCCTTGATTCGCTCTCTTGCTCGTCTCCCGAGCGTCATGCGACGGCCGGTGTGGCCGTTTCCCTCGTTGTTGGTACCGCTTCCTCCGCTGCCGCCCCTCGTCCTCGCCAGCTTCTTCCGGCTCCACCGACTCCGAGGGCATCGACGGCCCGGCGGCGGGGTCTCCCCGGGCGAGGGCGGCGGCATCGTGTCTCGTCGCCACCCCTCCCCGGGAGGTCGGGCCGGATCTCCCTGGTCGGCGAGTCGCGCCCGCATCCGCGGCCTCTCTATCGTTCTCGGCTCGCCCGCCCCCTCCGCCGGTTCCTCACTAGGCTCGGGGAGGCGCGGTCTCTCTCGCCGTAGATCACGGCGGTCCGGTCGCCGCCGCGACAGGTCTACCCCCGGTGGGCTCGCACGGCCCGACTCCACTCGCAGAGGCCGCCTCCTTGTCTTTTTTCTTTTCTTTTGCAGAACGCCGGGCTTGTCTTGTATGTGCGTGTCGGGGGTGTGTCAGTGAGGGGTGGCGGGGGACGGGGGCGCGCGAGGTCAGAGGCTCAACCATTCGTCGGCTCGTCGGGGTGGGAGAAGGGGAAAGGAGGTCTGGACGGTCGGCGAGGGGGTCGTAGCCCGACAGAGTGCGTACGGGGTGTAGCCGCCACTTTCCTGCCTCACAAGGGCGGGGCTGTCCCGGAAAGTGAGAAACGCCGGGCAGCGTGGTGCACAGCTTCAACCTCCCATACGTGTTTGTTCGCTCCTTTCCTCGGGCTGTTCCATCCATCCTGCCATCTGCATCTCCTTCCAACCTAGGCGAGGCGGGGGGGGCGCGTGGGTGCGGAGGGCAGTGCGGTGCGAGTGGGTGCGTGTCATGTGGCTACAGCAAGTGACCACGCGTATATAAACGAAGGCGCTATCAAAAAAAATACTCAAAAGGCGTATCAAAAAAAAACGCTGCTCCCAGCCCTGAAGAAGCGCCGGGTCCCGAGGTCGAGAGGGTGGGCTGCTGAGCGGACACCATGCTGCTGCAGCAGCCCGACGCCATCGCCGTGGTCGCGTCGCTCGGCCTTGGAGGGCTCTCAGGCCTGCCACTCCCGTTCAGCGTACCGCTCGCATACGGCGCCATGGTTGCATCGCAGACGCGTGGCCTGGACATCATCGGCCTGCTCCACAATTGTACCGCCCAGCAAACGGCTGCCGCTCCGCCGGACAACGTGGATGCAGACCTGCCCATGGATGCGTTGTGCGCTGGGTACGAGGCGCACCACTGGGAGAGCACCTCAAACTGCTTGCACGCTTGCGGCATGCTGTGGGCATTCGGCGTGCTTGCGCTCATGCTGATGCGGCAGAAGAGGTGGCCCATGCTCGCGCTAGTGCCACCGTGCTGGTACCTGTTCGCCTGGACGGGCCACTTTGTGTACCAGGCTGGTGGGAGTGTGATGGGTGGACCTGAGAGACGACTCCCACCCTCACCGCAGCCTCCTGCTCTAGGCGGACGTACCTGCCGTCTTCACGTACGGCACCACCCTGCGAGGCTGGTCCCTCGGCGAGTGGTGCTCGATCAAGGCGTTCGCTGCGGGCCGCACCGTCTCAGCGCGCGAGGATCTTCTGCTGACCTTCGCCTGCGCGGTCGCCACCTACCTCGGCCACAGAGCGAGCGCCAGCCTCTGCACGCGTGGCCACGAAAAGCCGGATTAAGCTCTGCTGGCGCGGGTCTGGCGCGCGCGGCATTGCAGAGCATTGCAGTAGCGGACGAGGGTAGCGCTCGGTGTCGCGGATATCTCAATAGCATAATGTCTGCGCGAAACCCTACTTTTCCCGCGGCTTTTGTCGAGGCTTTTAGAGGCGCGGCCAGGCACGCGGAACTCTCACACCACCAGTACGGGGCGCGTCCGGGGTGTCGAGACTCCGCACGTGTGCGCGGTCTGGGGCGCACTCCGCTCATTCGGACAGCAGCTGGGCGAGCTTTCCGCTGCTGATTGCGCGCTGCGTGTCGTCGTTCCCTCCGAGGTGAGCTCCCTTCACAAACACGTTCGGCACCGTCCGCTGCCCCGTGAGCGAAAGCAGCTCCGCCTGGATCTCGGCGCCGTCGTCGAGCTCATCCAGCTCCACGACGGTCGGCGTGACGTTAATGTCGGCGAGCGCCGCCTTGCAGCGCTGACAGTAGGGGCACCACGACTTGCTGTACACCACAACATCGTTCGACGCCACCGTGTCCTTGATGGCTTCAGCGAGCGCAGCGTTGGCGCTGATCCCGCTGGAGCGGGCGCGGCTCACGGCAAGGAGCGGCGGCGGAGCGGCGCGAAGCAGGAAGGACTGCACGAGCGCCGGCGCGGCGGCGACGAGGAGAAGGATGATTCGGCGCATCATGTGTGGAGGGCGCAGCGACGGGCTGTCGTCGTTGCACGCAGGGAGACGCCCAGAGAGCTCAAAAAAAGAAATCAGGCAGCCTCACAAGACGGTGCTCCCGAAGACCAGCAGCGCCGCCGTTGCTAGCGCTATCGACGCGTCGAGGTACCACTGTAGCCGGACGCCCTGCAGCGTGGCGGCGGCCTTGTACGCCAGCAAGGGCAGCACCAGCGCGGCCGCGCGCTGCGTGCTCTGAGCCTTGGAAGCGACGACTGCCTCCAGCGGCACTCCAGAGGAGGAGAGAGGGGGCCAGTGGTCGTCGACCGCCGCCGCCATCGCCGCAGCGGGCATCAGCGGCCCTCTGGACACGCGGGCGGATGACACCGCTGGCCGGACATTGATCAGCTGCACGTCGATCGCGACGACGCCGGCCACGTCGTTGCCTGCGCCCAGCCCCTCGCTCTCCTGCCGCCTGACAAGCGGCGGGATGGGTGCCGAGGTGTGGGCAGTGCCGAGGTGTGGGCGGCGACGAGCGCGTGCGGGCGGATGCCTCCGGTTCTCGTTGAGGACTGTGCCGTACAGCCTTTGCCTCTGCCCAAACGAGCGCGGCACGGGCTCGTGGGCGCGGTCCTTGTAGCCAAGCCGAGACGGGATCACGAGCCGGCGCGTCCCGCCCTGCCGCATGCCCAGCAGGCCCTCCTCCATGCCGTCGATCAGCTGGCCTGGGTTCGCCGAGGGACAGGGTGCAACGCGCGCCGTGCGGATGAGGCGGGCGGTGGGAGTGGGGGTGAGACGGTTAGGGAGGCGGCATGAGCACCGCTTCCCATGGTCAGCCGGTACGGCTCGTCCTCCTCGGCCTGGGTGTTCATGAAGACCCACCCCTGCTTGCCCACGAGCCTGCCCACTGCGTGGAACGTGACGCGGCTGAACGGTGTAACCGTGTCGCCTGAACCGGTCTTGATGTCAGCCCAGCGCAGCCCACTCTCAGTCGTGACGAACGAGAGCTGCTGCGACGAGTGCACAGCAATAGGGCGCGAGGCGGCAGCGCTGCCAGCGGCAAGGGCAAGGCGGCGCGAGATCGACGGCCGTCCGGTCAACACAGCTCCACTGCTGCAGCAGAGGAGGACCGCGAGGGCCATCGATAAACCACTGTCTGGTCTAACAGCGAGTCCGTGAACTTACGTTCTCGAGTGCGGAGAGTTGTAGTGGGCGAGCGGATAGCCAAATCACACGAATAAAGAAAGAAGACAAGGCGCGCTAGGTGCAAAAAAATTCTGGGAGGGGAACGTTCACGGGGAGACTCAAATTACGGCGGATGGCAATCTCTCGTCTGCTCGAACCCGTCGGGCTCAAACGTTGGCGGAACCGAGCCCCCCCAACGCGTCGCCTCCAAAAGGTGCGCCGCCATCACCCGTCTCGTTACTCCATGGATGACCTCATCTCGCTCCGAGACCTCGAGGCCTTCGCGGCCCTGCCAAAGTTGCCGGTAGCTAACCTCGCGCAGCCGTCCAAGTTTGAGCCCGAGCTTCCGGATGCCAAGCGCGTTCTCGCAATCAGAACACAAGAGCACTCGACTCCGCCCACCCTGCCTGTGACGCCGATCGAAAACGTGCTGCTCGGGCTGGAGGGCGCGCCCGGGCTGGTTTCCGGCTCCACCTTCTGGCAGCGAGAGCAGCGCATAACTCCGCAGGCTTGCGCGCCAGGCGGGTTTGTAACCGGATCACCGGCGCAAAAGGCGTTCATTTCTGTCTGCCCCATGGCGGGAGGAGCGCCGGCGGCGGAGGACGAGAGGGACCCATCGCACGCCCTATCGTGGGAGCGCGCCGCGCTGCCATCCATCGCAAGCGCCGAGCCATGCAAATGAGTGGCCGCCATGGGTCGCGGCCTTGACGAATCGGTTTCGCAGGCGCAGCGGCCCAATTTGCACTGGCGAGAAGGCGTTCACGCTGGCTGTTTCTCGCGCTTTGGCTGCGAGGAGTGGCTCGCGCTCCGCTTTCATTGTCACCCACTCGGTGGACAGTCGGTAGCCGCCCAGTGACGCGTTTCGCGGCGTCGGACGGACGCAGAAGAAGGAAAGAAAAGAAAATCTTGTGAGAAAAAGAAATCATGCGCGTGCGATCCACGGCGGCGCCATTTCTTCATTTTCCGACTGACTCCTCACCACAGTTCCTACTGCCTGGCCCTCGCGCTCCCGTTCAAACCCACCGCCTCGCTGTGACGATGTCCTCCAAGCAAGACGCAAAGGTCGTGATACTCGGCGCGAGCGGCTGCGGCAAGACGTGCCTATCCCTGCGTTTCGTCAAGGACCAGTTCATATCGTGCGCTCTCCCGCGGCCAACTGCACTTCCGCGGCCCAAGGCTGACTAGTGCGCGGCCCGCGCCCAAGGTACACCGCGTCAACCATTGGAGCGAGCTTCTTGGTCAAAGAGCTCACCATCGGCTCGCAGAAGATCACGCTGCAGATCTGGGACACGGCCGGCCAGGCGCGGCCGACTCTCCCTCTCGGCCTGCCCGGCTCCTCCCGCGGCTGACTGCAGTGTGACCGCCTGCCTGCCCACACTAGCCCTCTCTCGCCCCTCTCGTGCCACCCCTCGGCAGGAGCGCTTCCGCTCGATGGCGCCGCTGTACTACCGCGGCGCTCTCGCCGCCATCCTCGTCTTCTCCCTCTGCGACGCGCAGTCCTTCGAGCGGCTCAAGGAGTGGGTGCGATGACGGCCGTATCCGAGAGTGAGAACAGAGCGGCCGCAGCGGCAGCAGTAGCATGGATAGCGAAACTGTGTGCGAGAAGGAAGAGGAGAGTGCAATAGTGAAGCAGCAAGCAGGCACCAGTCGGCAGCACCAGTCGCTGCCCTCGCGCAGGTCAAGGAGCTGTCGGCGAACGTGGAGGAGCCGCTCGTGCTCGCGATAGCAGCAAACAAGTCGGACCTGGCCGAGCGCGCGGTGCCCGTCGAGGCGGCGCAGGCGCACCAGTGCGTGCCACACACACGCACACGCACGCCGTCCGCGCGATTCAAGCATCCCCACAATCACGACCCTCTCCACGATGGTTCAATGGCGAGCCGAGCCCTGTTGCAGGCGTATGCCGCCTCCATCGGGGCCGTGCTCTTCGAGACCTCCGCCAAGGAGGACGTCGGTGTGAAGGAGCTCTTCACCGAGGCGCGCTGGTTAGAGCCGTCCAGTAGTCCGTGAGCAGCCTGGCGAAGGAGCCGGCGCGAGCGCACCCCAGTCGAGCGTCTCGCCGATGCCAGGCCCAATCTCCCCCTCCCCTCCCCCCTCCTGCAGGTCGCGCGCCGGCTGCTGCTCGTGAGGTTGCGCCCGCCCGGCGGCGCGGCGGGGGACGGGTCGTCCACCATCTCGCTGCCGGAGGGGGACGTGCGCGGCGGCGGGACGCGGTCAAAATGCTGCTGACAGAGTGAAAAGGCGGGGCAGGGGGGGGGGGGGGGTCGGCAAGTTGGCACGAGAGACCGTGCACGCGCTGACCGCTGTGTCGTTGTAGCATTATGACGAGTCGACTGATATATATACATCCCGGAATATAAACGAGAGCGTTCGAGGGATCGAGAGGCACGACCACGCCGCACGACGAGCTCCACACGATGTCGCAGGAGGTGGTGGAGAATGACCTCCAGACTGACCCGGAGAATCACCTCCACCCAGCCCCACCTCAGCACTCCTATTATCACTCTCTCCCCCCCCACAGTGATGAATAGTCTACCTATATCCCTATATTCCCACACCCTGTGCAGTGGCACGTCTCGCCACCTAGATCCCTAATATTGGCACCTTGGGCGCCGAATAGGCGCCCAAATATTGGCACGTAATAGTTCCCTCGTCTCTTCGAGGCGTCGTCATGTGACGCCTTGATGCTCCCCGCTGAGGCTGCGCCCCAGCATTCCCGGTGTTGCACGACGCCATTCCCTTAAACCACTCGGGTGTCCGAGTTCCTTATACCTTATACCAATCCTACAGCCGTCTGAGACGGCACCCGGATCGAGGATGGCTTTGCAGCCTCACCCGCGATCAACAGTACAGCAGAGCCGCGCACGCGGCTCACCACTCACACTTGCTGGGCACCAACCTTTGGGTCCAGATGACTATCCCTCTATTGAAGAGGGAAGAGGGACGCCTCACGATACTACCGAGGGCCGCGACCAGGATTCTTCTTGCTGGTCAGACCACTCCAATCACCACCACACACGACCACGGACGACGCACGAGCGGCAGCGCGTGGCAGCGGGCCTCTATCTCTGTATCTCAGAGAAGTCTCTCGGAATGTACCGCGCGCGCAAAACGCGTCGTGTGCCCGTGTGTGTACGGCTAACCAGTACTTTTTGGTGACGGACGGGACGATGAAGTGCATGTCATGTTGCCGCAATGGCCAATGCCCCCCCCCCCCC